GCTTTGCATGTGTTTTGGATGAGCCGTAGAATTGTAGAGTTGCAAGGGACCCTGAGGATCACCTAGTCCAGCCCCCAGCAATGCAGGAATATGCAGCTCATAAGATTGTAAGAAGAGCCTGCACGTGGTTGGGATGAATCATAGAATGATAGTCTGGTATCCTGTTTACAAGTGGCCAACCAAAAGCCTATGGGAAACCTGCAAACAGGATTTGAGTACAAGAGCATTCATTGAATTTCAATGAGCTCTAGCATTAGGAGGGAGAAAAACTCTTCTCTATCTCGTATCCCTGCCTCTTCAGTGCTGGATTTACGTATAAGCTAAACAAGCTATAGCTTAGGGCCCCACTCTCTTGGGGCCCCCCAAAAAAAATTAAAGGGAAAAAAACTGGGTGTACATTTCCAAATATAAGTTCAAAAATTACTTTGATACAATACATATTTTGTTATGTGCAACTGGCTTTAGATACCCATTTGGTCCATAAATTACCACATAGCATATATTCAACACAAAAAACAGTGACAATTTGTTGTTGACAAAGGACAGCTGGACATATAAAGGACCCTATTACGTTCAGTAGCTTAGGGCCTCATCAAACCTAAATCCAACCCTGCTTCTTCTCTAAACTAAAAAGTCTCAAACAATGCAACCTTGATCATTTTGGCTGCCCGTTTCTGAACCTTGATGCCACTTGAGGTCTTGTTTCACTGCTCTTTTTATGTTTGATTTTAACATACTTTTTTTTAGTTATTTCCATTTTTTGTTTTGTTTTTACACTTCAGTGCGAGATGACAAATAAATATAACAAACAGCAGCAATATTTTAATAAATATTTCATATTGTTTTATGTAAACTATTCAGAGGCTTTTGACGATTAAGTGCTTTATTATATATTGTCAAATAAACCACAAAATCTACACTAATTTTCCCTTAAACATTAACTGACTGTGGTATAGGCAGCGTCTAGGCTGCTTCATCTTTCATGAATGGAGTAGCTGTAGGTTGTTGTAGCAAAGTTGTTGTCCTTACCGTGTGTGTGTGTGTGAAGGGAGATCCATTCATAAATTTCAACCCCTCTGCCCCTGCTTTAAAATGAGGAACCATGACTCTCGAAAATGAATGAATGAAATGAATGAAAAGGAGGAACAACGTGAAATGAGACACAAAATGGTGTATGAGAATTCTCTAAAGAAAAGAAAAAATAACTTCTATGAATTTTTTTAAAGAGGGCCCATGAAGTTTTCAGGCTGTTATCCTATACAATCCAGAGGTACTTACTTTTGAGTAGACATAAATTAGATTATCCTAATTAGATGCTTTTTGGGGGGGAAAAAGGAGGAAGGCAGAGTGCCTGTTTATGGATGGGCCTGTACTTTACATAACTAGAGGTGAATGCTGAGAAAGAAAGTGTATTTTCCTACAATCAGGCTTCTGAAGCTGTTTCGTTTTACTGTGATTTGTGAGGCACCACAGTTGTCTCCGACAGCCATTCGACACTTTTACATACAGACCCAGAAGACAAGACATGCATGGTGAAAATAAGAGGCATTAATGATTATAAAGGACAGTTTAAAGGTTCCAATTTAGGCTCAGATCTGGAATGTCCCCCTGAATTCATGTTTGCAATTCATGTTTGCAGACAGAATAAGCACTCCTTCCCTAAACTGTGATATATACAGTATTGCTTTCCGGGGCGGGGCAAGAGGGAATGACACACAACATAATACAGTATGTCAATATGGAGACAGCACCAGCTTTATACATGTATTTTACCAAAGAGTCAGAGATTGTTCAAGACACCACAATCAACTATATCAGCCTTATTTGGTCCTCTTTCCAGCTACACTTAACTGCAAAAGAGATGACGGTAGAAGCATTTACCAGTAAAGCTCAGAGCACTGGCTTTTATAGGAAACACCACCAAAAGATTGTGATTGGAACATGACTTCCTGTTTTGGGAAAGAACCCCCTTATGCTGTTGTTGTGCATATACTCTGCTGGCCACTGATTTTAGACTCCCCCCCCAAAAAAAAAAATCAGTCCCGCCCCACCCTCAAGCCTGGTGCTTTATATTTCCAGGGATTTTTCCACCTTGTTTCATATGTTCAATAATAAAAATGAATGGATGCCGATAGTATTTTGGGCAACTGTGCCAGTTGCAGAGTGGTAATGCTTTTCAAGTGATTATCCCTGGCATGTAAATGAGAAAATCATGTACAGTATATATCTCAAGTCAAATGCTTGTGGCATATTGGGACAAAAAAATAGCATGAGGTACAATTTAGAAAAACCTTTGTTTACTAAATAAAAGTAAAATAAGCATGCTCAATTAGATCACTCTCCAGAGCACCATAAATGTTCCCATCTTAACATCTGCATTGGTATATCTGATGAATTGAAGCTGCACTTATGTAAACTTGCCTTTCTCACACTCCCTGCTCACCCTCCTCCACTGCTAAAATGCTGTTTCATCTAGGGCCAACGGCCAAACTCGGGCATGCCATAATTTAATAAGATATGAAGTATTTCAAAACACTTTCCTCTCATTACACAATTTTTGCTTTCTTTAAGTTCAACTAAAACTTTTTTTGTTAAGCCATTTATGTTCACAGAGAATAATCTTTCAGCAAAAGAGCATATCAGTAGTGAAGAGAACAACTCACTTCAGGAAGTAAATGGCCAATTCTGGAAGTAAAAGGGGAAAGTATTGCAGTATACTTTACTTACTGAGTACTATTATGCTGGCCCTTAGAAAGAGAACACTGCAGAAAATATTTTCTTCTGCTATTTTTGGCATGTACCCAGATTTCTCAGGGTTCGGCTATAATTGCTAACCTCTGAAATGTTAACTCTTAATAAAAAGCTTGGCTATTAGCATGTGTTTTTTGTATTTTCAAGCCCCAAACACAACTTTTTCTGTCTCCCTTCCCTCATCCTCCCTATGTATCAGTGGTGGCTAACCATTTTTGGTTCATCTTTGCCCAGTCCTCCGGGGACCACATGCCACAGGTGGGTGTGACCAAAAGTGGGTATGGCCATTTTTAATTGCATGCATTCATGCACGTACACATATATGCAGGGCACAACTAGGGATTGGAGGATATGTCAATTTCAGTTCCCTCCTGTTTTCATTCTTCCAAGTAAGTTCTTCGCATTTTGCAGCTTAAAAAAAAATCATCACAAAAATTCATCAGCATTTTTGTGAAACTCTGTCCTAAATAACACATTTTTTAAGGTAGCTTTGATGATCATACCCATTCATATTTACAGCTCACCAATAGGCTGCTTGATATATGCAAATTTTCTTTCAAGCATTGTACTCCTCAAGATAATGTTCTGGCAGAACCAAACGTCACTAGGTTACCTGCCTGCACTTTGGCACAAACCTTTAAAGCAAACAGATTAGCTGTTATCTGCAGCGTGGCACAGAATAGGAAGGGACCAAGGTGCACCATGCCCAGGTTTGTCATCACTGGGCTCCTGCCAGGTCCCACACCCCTGCAGAGGGGGCACTCTCAAGTCCAGCACCCCTTGGTCACTCACTGCCTGTTCACCTTCCACTCTCAGGTCATGCACACAGTGCGAAGCATGAGGGGTAAGAGCAAACCGGGTTCAGACGGAGAGTGCAAGTGAGAATTGGTGAGAAACTCAGTTCAGACTGCATGGGAAGGTGAATTTACCTAATCTGCACTGCCCCAAATAACAAGGCTACGGAGGCACTGGGCACCCTTTGAAATTTGAACTTCCCTGAATTTTTACAATGTAGTTCTCCAGGCAAGTATTGAGAAGAAAAATGCACATGTAACTAGGGTAAACTCTGCATAGAAATGTGAAGACAACATACAGAATGCATTATATGGGGGGACTATAAAAGTTAATAGAAAAATGTGCGTAACAAGGGGATATGCAGTAAAATGCTGGCGAATTTTCACGACAACTGTTCTTCTATTAATTGCAAACTGAGGTGCACAGGTGCCAAGTCTCTGGGGCCCTGGGTGCCCAAGTAACCACATCAGTGGCGTAGCGTGGGGGGTGCAGGGGGTGCCGGCCGCACCGGGCGCAACATCTGGGGGGGGGGCGCGCTCGCACTCGCAGCTCTCTGCCCCTACCTGGCTCACTCACTCTCTCTCACTGCAGTGCTGGCTGTGCGAATCCGATCCGAGCTGCTGGGTCGCTGCCCACTGTGGAGGGGGTGGGTGCCAGGCGTGCGGTGCGGAGAGAGAGCGAGGGACTATCTGGGGGAGGGACAGTGCAGCGGCCGCCCAGCGCAGCGCTGAGTGCGGGAGAGAACCACACCAGACCAGACCAGGCAGAAGCAAGAAGAACCTGGCAGCGGCGGCAGGTTAGGGGTTAGGGGGCGCAAATTACTTGCCTTGCCCCGGGTTAGGGGGCACAAATTACTTGCCTTGCCCCGGGTTAGGGGGCGCAAATTACTTGCCTTGCCCCGGGTGCTGACAACCCACGCTACGCCGCTGAACCACATTCCCCATGATGGGGCCAGGCACCCACAAATTTCGGTGCCAGGGCCATGCATGTTGCATGGCACACATGGCCCCGGGGCACCCACGGTTGCAGAGCCAAGTTGGAAATAGGGAGAACTGAATTTAAGACTGGGTAAATGGGAAAGCAGGGAAACAGATTATCCAGTTACCAGAAGGCAGTGGGAAAGAAGTGACTCCGGGGATCTTGCCCAAGGTCACCCTCAGCCCACTCTTTGACCACGCCAGAGTACAACTCCATAAGCCGAGGCACCTTTCCTAGGCGGGAAGGCCAGCCCTTTCTTTCCCCTCCCACCAGCCTCTGCGCTCTTGGAAGCTTCTTGGTCTCAGGCAAAGAGCGAGGAGTTCGCCAAACCTAAAAAGAAAGCAGCGCCACTCCGGAGAAAGCTCTCTTTTTTTGCGCTTTCCATCTCTGGCAAATGAGAACCCGAGTTCCAAGCTCCGGCCCTCCCAGCCCCCTCGGAGAAAACCCCACCCAACCTGACACTCGCTGGCATCTCCATGAATGGCTCCTTCCTTCCTTCCAGCCGCCAAGCCGCAAGTTTCTTGGCTGCCTCCGCCGCAAACGCTCCCATGGCGTCGCTGGGAGTGGAGACCCGCTTGATCCCACCTCCTCTGCCATTCAGCCGGCACCGTGCAAAAACCCACCCGCAGCTCCGTCCACGCCTCTCGCCGAGGAACCTCGGAGGAGCGCTCAAGAGCTCCGTCACTGCGCACCAGCGGACCGAGCCTGAAGGGAAAGCGCTGCCCAGCCGGAGCAGCGCGGCAAGCCCTGCGCTCGCGTGCGCCTTGCGCCGGCTCCACACCGCGGCGCCCGGTCACAGGCGGGTGGGACGCGCCCGGGCTCCTCGCCGTGCGCTCCTCGCTGACTGACTGGCTGACTGGAGCCCACCGCGGCTAGTGGCTACGTCGGAAAGCGAAACTTAATTGGACCCAGTCGGAAGCCTCCCGGGTTCGGCTGCCTGCCGTCCCCAGAAAACGAAGGCTGAGGCAAAACAAACCAAGAGCCGCTGCCAGTTGTGTTTGGTGGAACGTTTTATTTCAACCTTCGCTGAGAGCTTCGCGCAGCCAGCCGGCCATATTCAGCTTCGGCTCGCGCCCCCCCCCCGCCCCCCAGCACCCGAGGTCTCGCCTCAAGGCGGCAGCGCGATGGGCACGAGCCTGGCCCCACCACCATCATGAGCGACAAACTCCCTCCGCGCGGACCATGTTCAATGGTAAGGAGAAGGCGGCGAGGCTCTGCGCGCGCATAGCCCGCTTCGGCCTTGCGTCGCGGGCGCACGCGCCCTGCTCTCCGACCCTTTCGCTTCGGCGCCGCGTAGACCCTCCGCGGAAGACGGGAGAGGGAAGCGGAGACCCTAAGTCGCCCCCGTGGCCCCTTCTCCTCCTCCGCAGCGTCTCTCTCCCGACAACCCACCTTTGCGCTTTCTCTGAGCACGTGCTCTGCTGCTGCTGCTGCTGCTGCTGCTGCTGCTGCGCCTCCTCGGCGACTCTCCAGCCTTTGCGCGCCGCGTGAGAGGCTTCCGCGCTTTTATCCCCTCGGCCCGCGGAGGGAATTTCCCCGCGTTTCCAGAGCGAAACTGGAAGCGCCTTATTCCCAGCAGCGCTGGGCAGAGACACCCGAAATCTCCCGGAGACAAAAGGCAGGGGAGTGGTGGAGGACATTTGTTTGCGAGGCGAGGCACGTTGGGGCGAACGAGTCCTCGGAGCCAAGTGTCACCCCGCCCTCGAAGGTGCCATTAACCCCGTTCCCAAGTCTTCGGAAGCCAGGCGTCTCCGCACGCCGCGCGGAGCCCAGAAAATCCCGAGGGTGCCGGGCTAAATTCCAGCTGGCAAGGCGCGGGGCTTCGCTTCTTCCTGCAGGTGCTGCCCGCCGCTGCCATGCCAGCATTCGCGCCTTCTTTTCCCGTAAAACTTCTCCGGGGACGACCCAAAAAGTAAAGCACCAGCCAAAAGCCATTAAAAAAGAAAAGGTACCGTTGCAAAAGATGGTAACCCCTTAGTTGACTTTCTCTCAACAAAGAAATAATAATAAAAAATACATAAGGTTAAGAATTTCAATGCCCATAAGGGTATCAAAATGAGACTCTTCTGCCTCTCCAGAAGGGTTTGTGGGATCCTTCCCAAAAATGATCTTGGCCGGCCAGAGCCGAACGTGAAGATTTTCCTCCAACAGGTGCTTTTGCAAGTGCCCTTTGCCACAGTTCAAATATACACAGCACCATCTCTCTCTCTGTGTGTGGCAGGTGTCTGTGGGATAAAATTATGAGGATTCTTATACTGCAAACAGTATGGGATAGTTCCATGTACCAGTACTTATTCCAGGTTGTCATTAGTTCCTTAATACGCACGGGCCATGGTTTAAACTAAGGGTGGCATTAAAAACCCACCCCATTTTTAGACACCCCGATTCCAGTGGCTTTGGGTCAGTCACAGACTACCAACTGCAGTAGTTTTTAGTGGAATCCCAATCCCTAGCAAGAAAAACTCAGAGGGTTATACTAGCTCTTGAATCCAGGCTGGTGCTCTTTTAAAAATACCACTTTTAGGTTTTTCACCAGTTCTGTATCCTCTTTGCTGCAGGATGTTTCACTTTCAATGGGTAAAGAGGAATGAGACAGAGAGATAAGGTTGCCAGGCAGCACTGTTTGCTGCTAATTCCCAGAACTGTGCAGACTATGCCCACTAGCATGGAAAAGCTGCCAAGTGAGGACTGTAAAACAGTATTGCGGAAGTTTATGTAGACTGTGTTCCAACTCACCTTGTTCAGCGAAGGAATCCCTGTACTGTATAGCTCTCCCCACTTTTTTGCTTGCAAGCTTGTTCATGTGCTCGTTTCTTTCTGCTGCCATTTCTTCCTGTTGGCTGGTTAAACCATGCTGTGTCTCCTTGGCTTGCCCTAATCTCCACTCTTTCAACCTCCACCCTTGGCTGTGTAGCAGTGATAATGTTCAGAAATAACAAGAAAGTTTCCCTGCTCGTTGTTTCTATTGCTTACCTATAGTGCCTGGTTTTGTCGATATGTGTAGAAATGCAGATGGGTGGTGTATGAGTCATTTGTTTTTAAAAATCATTCTTTGAAATATTTTAAACCACCCTTCATCTTCATGGATACCAGGGCAAGCTACAATAGGCATGAATAAAGTTGATCGTGCCGAAAAAAACAATAATATGCAATAACCCTGGTGGCTGTTGGCACTGGAAGGGCAGAAGAAAGCAGAAAACCAGCAGTAGATGGAGCCAGAGCTGATGACAGACAGAGCCAGCTAAATTATAGTTTTCCATTCTTTTTCTCCATTGAGAGAGAAATTCAACATAGGGTTAAGCATATTGCTCCATCGACACAAGCATTTCTTGCTTGCCTGAAGGAACAATCTGCCCTCTCATCCTCCTCCGTGCACACAACGGGAAGACAGGAGGGGAGCCTCATTGTGCTAGCAGAAGTCCTTGTGTGGGCTTCCATTGGTGGGAATTCTACTACAGTAGCTGAAATTGCTACACTGAGACTAAGGAGAAGGAAGCTGCCAGCCAGTGCCATCCCCTGGGCTGGTTGTAAGTGTGAAGTTAAGCAAGTGGGGGCTGGCTGAGGGTAGTCTGAGCTTGATGGGGGCACTGTACCATTTGCCCTAATGGACCTCTGCCGTAGTAAGACAATAAAATTACTTAAAACTTAATTACCAAACACTTAGAAGTGTTTTAAAAAGCCAGAAATATTTCTATTAAGCATATTGCCAAAATAAATAGGGAAATTGAAAAGAACATTGTTCATGTATGGGATAAAGGCGGCCAGAATTTTAGTAGCAAGAAATTGGAAAAATACAGCAATACCTAACACGGCAGATTGGCAAATCCTAATGGCAGAATATCTGCAGCTAGCAAAGGCGGCAGGAAGGATAAGAGGCCAAACAAAACAAATAATCTATAAGGATTGGAACATTTTTAAAGAATACTTTAAAAACTATGGTATAAAAGGAAATCTCTTGGCAGAATTAGACTGACCCTTGTATAGGTATAAGTTCGTTGGGAGGTAAAAAGAAACTATATAAGAAATATGCGGTATAAGTTAACCAATAGATAAAGTACAGTGAGACTAATTGGAAGTCATTTTTAATTTTTCTCTTTACAAGTTTTATAATTGGTTTCATTATTGGGAGTATAAATGATGTTAGTCGTATTAATTTTGTTGTTTTTTATATTGTTGTTGTTTGTTTGCTTTTTCTATTGTTTGCCTGCCTGCTTGCTTGTATGTTTGTTTGTTTGTTTTCTCTTCATAAATGTATTTATTTTAAAACAATAAAGATATATTCACGAAGGAAAAAAAGAAAAGAAAAAAAGGAACTGTCTTCAAACCAAGTAGAGCAGGCTAAACAATAAGTCAACTTTAAAATGCCCACAGGAAATATGGTTTGTAAATTTCCCCTTTAATAGAATTTGATGAAAGGAATTCCATCCTCATGATTTAGTCCCATTGGCCTAGTATTGTGGAATGCTCTGCTCACATAGATTCAGGTGGTGCCTTCTGCTGAAACTATTCTACCAGGCCTATGTAGCCAGTTAAGTATAGATCTTTCCAGTGATTAATTGATAATCTGTTTTCAACTTTTTAATATGGTTTTTATTATATGGTTTTGTGTCATTTTTGTTGTAAACGGTTTGGGTATTTTTCATCAAATAGAATCATAGAATTGTAAGTTGGAAGGGAAAGAGGGTCATCTAGTCCCACCCCCTGCAGTGCAGGAATCCTGCCCACAGCCGGCCCTGGGTGGGCTCAAACCACCAACCTGCTGATTAACAGCCAGACGCACTGACTCATTGCTCCAGCCTTTAAAAAATTTAGACATATAGATGCAGTGCTGTGCCGTCCTATGTATGTCTACGCATTTGTAAGTTCTACTCAGTTGACTGGGACTTTCTCCCAGGTAAATGAGCATAGCATTGCTCTCATTATGTCCTCAGTCCCTGCCTCTGTAATGTATAAATCTGAATAATGTTATCAAGCAGTAATCTGTTAATATCTCCAACCCATCACTATTTAATATTAAGTCATATTACCATAGTCAGCTGAGCATATAACTTCCTTGGTACAAGCTGTAATTCAATGTAATTTTGTAATCTAGCTTTTTTAAGGTATATCTTTGGGATTCTGCCACTGTTCCTAGCTTTGGTACCAGCTGGTTCATCTGCTTCCATGAATGCTTTCCTGAAAAAATATGAAATGTTTCTATCTTTCAACATTCGCGTGCTGGTAGGTAACATTTAATATACATATACATGCATATATAGAGAGAGAGAGAGGGGAAAAATGTATTTATCTGAGCAATTTTAACACCCTGAATGTTAAAACATTCCCAATGGAGATGTTAGTAATCCCGTTGTCTTGAAATATAGAAATGAGCTATACTATGTGGGAATCTATGAATATATGGTATCGTTTATGTAATAAATTACACCTGCATACTGCCCTTCAATCAGAGAGTTCCCAGGACAGCAATATAACAATAAACCCATCAAAACAAACAAAAGATTTAGTAAGGCTAAAACAACAGATAACAACAAACTTGAATTGGTTTGAACAGGCAAAGTTAAGGGTGCCATGGCTTTGCAAATGGCCAGTGCTGGGCAAACATTGAATTGTTGAGTATTTCCCCCCCAGTCTACTCACATGAGCCATCATACTTCTCTCTCCTCCATAGGAATGTATGGCAGTTATATTATGAAACAAATCCTGGTGTAGTTCCATGCAAAACTGAAATGTTCTCTTCGAAAGAACTAGGACAGGTGAATTGGTGACAGAAAATCAGACCTGAGGCAATGGTGGCATTAGAAAAGAAAGCAGAACCAGTCCTTGGTACACACTTGGAGAAGTGGGAGATGCTAGGATTCAAGCCTGCCTCTTTCAACTGATAATAACACAATAACAAATGCATACAGTGCTGCAATTGCTGATTTGCATTAGCATCGCTTTGTTTGGAAGAGATGTGCTTCCACTTGCATCTTCATGCCTTGTGGTTGTTTCCCTCTACTATCTCAACTGCTGAGTCAACAGTAATTTGTCATTGGGTTGTTGCCAGTGTTTAATACCAAGAAAACAAGCTATGCTTCTGATTACAGTGTTTGTTTGTTTGGCATCCAACATGCAGGTAGCTGAGTTCACATTGAATGTCTTGAAGTGATTTCAGAACTGCTGTAATTCATGGATTGGATCCAAACTAAGTGAGTTGAACTTCATCTCCGTTTAAGTCACTGTTGTTAAACCATGACTAATTTGCACCATTGAAATCAATAGGATCTTAGTTCAACTCACTTACAGTGCAGTCCTAACCATATCTACTAAGAAGTAAGTCCCACAGTTCAATGCAGCTTACTCCCAGGTAGGTAAGTAGGGTTAGGACTGCAGCCTATGTCTGGATCCAATCTATTACATTGTTACCTAATTTGTTATCAAAATTCCATAATATGTTGCTAGGAAGCAGCTATAGTTTTCCTCCCAGAAGCTAATCCTTTCTCTATTCTTGTTCTAGGGAAATGGGTTTTTCCTTGCTTATTTGCAAGTCACTTTCCCATCATTCTGGTGCATCTGTTGCCAGGCATCTCTGTGCCAAAATGTAGGAAATAGAGCAAACATTTTAACTGCCAAGGGATGAATAATTAGCAAACTTTCACAATGGAAAAGATTGCAGTACTGAGACACCAAAACTGGATTTTCTTAAATACTTGTGAGCCAAATTTTGTTTTGTACTTGCTGCAGGCTGCCTTGTGGTCATTTTCCGTTTAGATGGAGAGGTTGCCTTTTTAGAGCAGCATGACAGGAAGGTGATTGATTGAAACCCAGCCAGATGGGCGGGGTCAAAATAATAAAATTTATTTTTATTTTTACAGAAATTTAGGATAAATTGATAGCAGGATAAATTGACTTAGTAAACTGTTCATTGAGTGTTTGCATGCACTTAGTAAAAGGGATGTTTTGTTTATTCCTGGTCTCTGCTTTGTAACGTGCTGTGATTGGGAAGATGGGATTAATCTCAAAAAGGATTGTGGTATAGAGGTGATTAAAGTAAATGACTGCAGCTGTAGGATAAGGGGTTCAAAAAGAGATTGAGAAGAGCTTCCCAATAACCTCTCCAGACTGAGCAAATGGAGAATAAGATGGCGAATGCAATTCGATGTAAACAAGTGTAAAGTAAAGGCAAAGGACCCTGACCGTTAAGTCCAGTCGTGGACAACTCTGGGGTTGCAGCACTCATCTCACTTTACTGGCTGAGGGAGCTGGTGTTTGTCCGCAGACAGCTTCCGGGTCATGTGGCCAGCATGACTAAGCCGCTTCTGGCGAACCAGGGCAGCACACAGAAACGCCATTTACCTTCCCGCCGGAGCGGTACCTATTTATCTACTTGCACTTTGATGTGCTTTCAAACTGCTAGGTTGGCAGGAGCAGGGACCGAACAACAGGAGCTCACCCTGTCGCGGGGATTTGAACCGCCGACTTTCTGATCGGCAAGCCACCTTCTGATCAGTTTAGACCACAGCGCCACACGTTTAAATGTAGGTGTAAAAAAGCCCCTTCATATCACATAATAATACTCTTGGAGCCTGAACTGACCAGGCAGTGACTGACCAGGAAAGAAACCTTGGAATCATAGTGAATAATTCAATGAAGATGTTGACCCAGGGTGTGGCAGCTGTCAAAAAGGTTAATTCCATGCTAGGAATCATTAGGAAAGGAACTGAAAATCGTAATGCCGTCATCTAAATTTATGGTACAACCACAAATGGAATACTGTGTGTTGTTCCAGTTTGCCGGTTTGTTGTAAAGTTGGAATATGTTCAGAAAAGGGCAACCAAAATTACTGGGGGGGTTGGGTGGGTGGATCAACTCCCTGGTGCGGAAAGGTTACAGCATTTGGGACTTTTTGACTTACAGAGAAGGCAAGTAAGAGAGAAGTTTATAAAAGCATGCACGGCATGGGAAAAGTGGACAGAGAGCAGTTTTTCCTCCCTCTCCCAACACTAGAACTCGTGTACATCTAATAAAGCAGAATGCTGGAAGATATAGCACATATTTAAGCTGTTGAACTCATTCTCATAGGAGGTAGTGATGACCACAAATTTGGATGGCTTTAAAAGAGGATTATACAAATGAACTGAGTAGCTAGTAGCTATGGTGGCTATTCCCTGCCACCACAGCTGGTGTCTGCTTCTGAATAGCAGCTACTGGAATCCACAGGAGTGGAACAGTGTGAATGTGCTGAGGTCAGGATGCTGGACCAGATAAGCTGTTGGCTTGATCCAGCAGGATCATGTTAAGTTCTCTTGTAGAGTTGGCCAAGAGTGGATGCCACCCCAGAGCCAAAAAAGGCTAGCTACCCCTTTTCTAACAAAGTATCCAGTTGAATTCCCCTGTGCCATAGTTTTTCTAGCTTAAAATGCTTATTTATGGATCTAGGAAAAGGGAAAGTCTAGCCCTCTGATTTCTGAGTAAACATGCTTACCATCAATCTATTAAAACAGTGAGGAAATTCCGTAGGAATAGTAACATGCAAAACTGAAGCAGTTGACGACATACAGTGCTTCCAGGATGCCAGGATGTCATCTCATATGGTTGGCAATAAATCATAATAAAATCCTGCATTAGAACATTTGTGGTGTTCATGTACAGACCTAGATACTTGGGATGGGGGGAATGCTGAAATAACAAAAAGCTTTTTAAAATGTGAAATGAAGCTAAAGTATGCAGGCAAGCATGTATTGCCTGCATAAAGTATGCAGGCAAACAACTTCTTTTATGTCTTCCTTTTAAAAAACAAACAAACATATTAATCTATTCTTGAGGTTTGGACATAAAATGCTGTTGTATCCAACTGACTTCATACTGTCTACATGTAAATGTACCCAGCAAGGCAGATCAGTTACTCCAGGCTGATGAACCAAATGGAGGGAAAACAGACCACTGCATATGAATGCTTGCAGAAACGTTTCTCATGCTTTCACAATGGATCTCAGGGACATGGTCAAATCATTGAGTGCATTGAGCTTATTACACTGGAAAAAGAGATGCAGAAGCATCTAAATTTAAACGTTGTTACTTGCATTCTAATTTATAGGAAGAGGAGATTGAACAACATGCTGGATGTAACAGGTCTAACACCAATAGAGTTTTCTGCAATACAATGGAGGTAATGTTGCTTTAAAAAAACAACACATTGTAGTTTCTGTAGAGCAAGCACAATAGGAAAGGATGTCACAATTCTGAGACATTGTTGATTTTTGGGGGGGAACATCTCACCCTCACCCCCCCAAGCCTTTGGGCTTTTTTTGGATTGTTACAACGTTTTGCTTAAGAAATTGCCCTACATCTGGGTTTTTCTGGACATTTTGGCGAAAATCTGCCCAGATGCCATTTTGATAGTCTGATTCCTGGATGTGTTGGTGGAACTGCCAAGAGAGGACCTTGTGCTGATCTTCACACCTGGGAAGGTGTGTAGGGAAGTGGTGTGGGATGGTGCCAAAGGGAATCCTGACAGCGCCCAACAAAATGATAGCTGTAAATGAATACTTGTAGAAACATTTCTCACAGAGTTTCAGAACTGACCACAGTAATGTGCACAAGCCATTGACTGGTTATACAACAGTGGGTTTATTTACACTAGAAAGAGAAATGCGGAAACATCTGAATTAACATGTTTGTTCCTTGTGTTCTAATTTGTTATAGGTGAATACAACTGGACTAGAAGTGTTCTGCAATTCAGCTTTGGTAATGTTGATTTTTCTGGAGTTAGTATATACTGTATCCTTAGTTTCTGTGGAGCAAATACAAGCAAGGAAAGATACCATAACTATGAAAGACACTATAACTTTCTTCCTTCCCTTTTCCTTGCCTGTGACCTGCTCAGGGTATCAGCACGATGATAATAATAATAATAATAATAATAATAATAATAATAATAATAATAATAATAATTTATTTATACCCCGCCCATCTGGCTGAGTTTCGCCCACTCTGGGCGGCTCCCAATCAAGTGTTAAAAACAGTACAGCGTTACATATTAAAAACTTCCCTGAACATGGCTGTCTTGAGATGTCTTCTGAATGTCAAGGAATTGTTTATCTCTTTGACATCTGATGGGAGGGCGTTCCACAGGGCGGGCGCCACTACCGAGAAGGCCCTCTGTCTGGTTCCCTGTAGCCTCACTTCTCGCAATGAGGGAACCGCCAGAAGGCCCTCGGCGCTGGATCTCAGTGTCCGGGCTGAACGATGGGGGTGGAGACCCTCCTTCAGGTATACAGGACCAAGGCCGTTTAGGGCTTTAAAGGTTAGCACCAACACTTTGAATCGTGCTCGGAAACGTACTGGGAGCCAATGCAGATCTCTCAGAACCAGTGTTATATGGTCCCGGCGGCCACTCCCACTCTAGCTGCCGCATTCTGGATTAATTGCAGTTTCCGGGTCACCTTCATAGGTAGCCCCATGTAGAACGCGTTGCAGTAGTCCAAGCGGGAGATAACTAGAGCATGCACCACTCTGGAGAGACAGTCCGCGGGCAGGTAGGGTCTTAGCCTGCGTACCAGGTGGAGCTGGTAGACAGCCTATATATACACTCTCCGTCTGTCATAAAGGATCAGAGCTGCGTATGATATATATATGTATATATAGTAAAATAGAAAAACCATTAAGAACAGAACTAACCTTGGCACTTAAATTAGCCCAAGCCATTGTGAAAAGTGGTACACGGATAGTGCCCGCTGGCCTTAGAGCTGCACAGGATTACCCAATATAAAAGAAACAGTCCTATGGAAAGTTTAACTTTTTTTAATGTTAGAGCAGTTATTGGAGGCACCAGCATTAAATGGAGAAGACCTAGCAAAGTGTCGGTGTCACTTGAAAGTAGTGTAAAGGAGAGACTGGGAATTAAACTCCACACTGAAGTTAAAAGTGGGGTGTAGGGATCAACATATTGAACATTTTATTCAATTTTGAGAGCCAAGAGCCTGAAGGATCAGTATGTAAGAAAGTTGTATCAAGCCTAATAGCACTCCAACTCATTAACATTTTTTTTTTGTTTACAGAAGAGAGACATTCGTGACGTGGCATGCCATCTTCAAAAAATGACCAAGAGATGTAACTTCACTGAAAGTGTAGAGAAGAACATGAATGAGGTTTCCGGTATGACATTGGCAATGCTCAAGGTATGCTTTGTTTTTGCAGCTTGTTTCCTTTCAGCTACTTTTACTTGCCCCTCACATCTGTGCACCCCTCTTTACTTCTGGAAGATTTGACACTGAATTTGCTGATTCAATAACATATCCATCATTTTCCTAGTGTTATTACCTGCATAGTACTTAACTGCTTTTCCCCCTAGCTGATTTATTGAAACACCTCGTACAGGGGTCAGCAAACTTTTTCAGCAGGGGACCGGTCCACTGTCCCTCAGACCTTGTGGGGGGCCAGACTATAATTTCTTTTTTTGGGGGGGGGGGTGAATGAATTCCTATGCCCCACAAATAACCCAGAGATGCATTTTAAATAAAAGCACACATTCTACTCATGTAAAAACACGCTAATTCCCAGAATGTCCGCGGCCGGATTTAGAAGGTGATTGAACCGGATCCGGCCCCCAGGCCTTAGTTTGCCTACCCATGACCTTGTACAACTTTTTTTGTTTTGTAGTGGCTTAAAATGTAGCTAGTATATTCTTAAGCCTACCAATTTCAAAATGTTTTGTGTACAGACTTGATATATTGTCACTCAAAAAGATGATCTATGTATACTTCAACAGCCATCTTTTCTTCTTTTCTTTTTTTTTAAAAAAAATATAGGACTGTAACAACAACACTGGTATAAAACGACAAAGAGGAAACCCATGTCCAAATGTAAGATATATCAAAAGGCTCTGTCGTGAATGTTTGATAAAGGATATAACTTTTCAGTTTAAGTTATGTTGGGATCAACTGATGTCACATTGGACTTAAGTGGAATAGGATGAAGCATTTGAAAGCTTGTTACAATTAAGTGAAGCTTTATGAACTACACAACGCTCTGGTTTTTCAGAGCACACCGGTTTTCTACAAAAATACTTTTAAGCACTGCAACTATCTCCTCTTTGCTTATGCAAATCTTCTGCACCAAGTCCCTGAGAAGACTGCAGTCCTTTTGTTCTTGGGAAGAGAGGGCACAGAGGCAAAAGTTGGAAGTTTGTAGTCAAGGCACTCTGTGTCTCAAGGAAACTTTCAACACCAGTGGAAGCAGAGAACTGACCGGTGGGGTGGAGAACTGCAATCTGTACTTCATCAGTCATTAAAACCTGTACCTGCCCTTTAAAATATATTATTTAAACCGACAACTGTTTTAAACGTACAACTGAAATAATGAAGCACTTTAAAAAATACAAAGGAACTTAGAAAATTATGTGTTTGTAATACATTGTGGTGGTGGTGTTGTTTTTAAAAAAGTCATTACGAGGGATTTCTTAAGTTACCAATACTGTACTTCATGGATTTCAAAACCACTTTAGGACCAAAGGCAAGCTTGGAAGGAAAAAAGGATGAATGAAGAGTACAGTTTCTTGGTTTGGGGATTTGTAGTAAGGAGGAGAGTAGGTAGCTTCTAGGAGCTAAACTGTGAATATGAGGAAAGTAGTGCTGCTTTGTTTTGTGGAAGTTAGAAAGGTACTTGCAGGAATACTCAGGAATTGCTCAAATTTGGGATTGACTTCTTGGGTGCCAGCCATTTAATGCAACAAACAGCCATTTAACTTAAAATATTTAGATTTTAAAAAAATAAAATAATACTGGCATTTTACAGCTAGAATGTTTTAATTTAACAAATGCTTTTTATATTTGTCTTGTATAAAATTGCAGAGTTCTGAACTATTTTTAGTATTAAAAGTATCTATATTGCTGTCTCCTATATTGTATCTATATTGCTGTCTAATGATATTTGTAGTGCATTCTAGCATAAACTGTGGGAGAAAACAGTCTTGAAGCAGAAACCAGAAACCCTGGAAGCAGAAAGCTGTTAACTCTTCTTTAAAGAACAACAACCGTAAAGCCAAAAAATGTAACCATGATCTCATTCTCAGGGATTAAGCTAAATAAATTTGGAATGCAAACAAAACACTGCTATAACATGTGTAGTTAATAGCTATAAATGCAGTGCTATTTTTCAAGAAAAAGAGGTGCCAGAACTCACTATGAATGCCTCCCTCATCCTCTTAGAATGACAATAGCGCCCACCTGAGAGACGCTGGAACTGAATTTCAGTGAGCTCTTGCTGAAAAAAAAGCCCTGTATAAATGTCTTAGTACATAACATCCTGTTTCTAGGAAGATGTTTGATATCTGTTAAAACTTACGTCTTCTTCCTTTAGTCAAGTTGAGCCCAACGGTAGACCACCTTTGGTGGCCTCCCTATATCCCTCCCTCTGCGATGGCCAGCACTTGTTCACCTGCCTGACTCTCTGCTGGCTCTTCCGTTTATCATCATGGCAGAGTTAGTTTCTTGGTTGCCCAGTCAGCCTCCTTCCGTGCCCCATGATGTACCTTTGTGCTGCTGCAATGAGAAACGGAAGATCCATCAGGAAGGCAGCCAGGTGTCCCAACCTATGTCACTAGATTGTCTTACTCCTGTAGCTGGGTTGTCTGACTTTCTGCAGCAATCCTACAGAACGCATGCACCTAGAAAGAGCCAACGGTACTATAGCTATCATGCTGTTGTTGGGTAATGTCTCCCCACTGGCTCTTTTGTTCCTCTTCACAGCACTGAGGAGGAAAAGCTGAGGGTTGCATACAGTCCATAGGTTGCCACCTGTGTTTTAGCCTACCTGTGCATTAGACCTGAATTCTCTTGTTTCATGCTTCCAGTTATTCTTATTTCCCACCTGGTCAAGCCAGTAAGGCACACTGGCCCAGCTCTCCATTGTAACATTGTACAAGCACTGAAATATGGGAGTAGACTTCTGTGGATTTTATTATTTTTCAAGAGTGCATAGAGGTATTTTGAGCACAAGTTTGACATGGGAAGTGTTAGCAGTTCCTTAAACACAGCAAATATACATAGTAGAGGAGTATTAACTCACCTGTGTTAAGTACTTTCCAGTGCATTTCCAGGTGCAATGCAAATGGGGTTTTAGATCTGAGTAGAGGACTGCTATATAAGCCTTTCCAAAATCTAAGGTTGGGTTCAGAGTCATTTTCTAGATTCCCCCAATTTCCGATACTAGGCTTGCATGGCCCACTTTTAGTGGGGACCCCCCCCCCCAACTTACTAAATAGGTACATGTTGACTATACCAAAAAAAAATCTTCAAGGTTTTTAATGGCAATCAGTGGTGGCTGCTTGGTTTGCTCTTAATTTTAACTGATTTTTGACTGCTTTCCTCATTCATGCTGCTGCTTTAAATTGTGTGTATTTCTTTTATATTGAGTTGGATGGATTTTTGATGTAAACAATTTTGTATATTTAATAAAACATAAATATTTTAAATAAAAGTAAAATGTTGGGGGTTTGACTTGCATAAAGGTTAAGCTGCAGCGACCCAGTTAATAGCACACTATATACATTTACAATTTCTATTGCACACGAATACCCAGTCTCAAACTTTAGGTCAGCTTGCTTGATCGGGGAAGGCTGAACCCTTTCAACAGTATGACAAGCCACAAGACCCTATCAGGATTCAGTGTCAAGTAGCTTGCCCACATCTAGTTCACATCACCCAAATATTGAGAAAGATTTCAGGATTTGACAGCTTATGTACTAACTTAGCAGCAAGGGTGCTGCCAGAAAAACAAAACAAAGGAACCTACTATGCAACATTAAGAAGAAGAATAAAAAACGTATGCAACAATTGCTTTATTGTTAACAAAGGACTAGATAACATACTGCAAGCATGTACAGATTGCTTTCGCAATGATCCCAATAAACATTTAGGAAAATCCAAAACGCAAGTCAGAGCAAAGAATAAAAGGTCACATAACTAGAAATTAGATGACAGTTACAAAAGAGAGAGGATACAATATATTAAAAGATCAGGCAGATACAGTAAGAAATCTGTATTGTTAGGTAGGTGTAATAAAGCATCTGCAGAAACACAGGAAAGCATTTATGTTACATAAATATTTGAGATCTTTGGTGAATGAAGATGCATATGAAGTCTCACCCAAAACAAAGCAACATCCACACAAGACTCTCAAAAGCATGTAGATCATTCAGAAATTTCCCAACATACCAGTCATCTCTTTCACAAAATGCAAAAAAAATAAGTGGAATACCAGATTGATCACTAGATTTCCACCACTAAGTACAATAGAAATGAGCTTTTCTGATGCTAAGACTGATCTCTGTGCTGCTCTGCCATCAGGGCAATACAAGGTGTACATTTTCCAAATGTGTAGAGTCAACTCTGTGGCTAAAAGTAACCTGAAGTAACTCTGAGTGAATTCTTAAATATATTGAGCTCATCTCAGTATCATTATTTACATGAGATATAAATCTGTGGCATAACGTTAATGTATTTAAAAGTAAGATTTCAAGCAAATAAACAAGATGTATAATATAACTTACCAGATTTTCTAGTCAATGAAAAGGCAAAAGGAATGTTTTGAAAAACTCTTGTTTTCCTTAGTATTCTGAGGATTAGAAGAGGGGGAGACCCTTTCATATGGAAACAAAATGTTACTGCATGTTTAAAGTGATTATTTTATAGATTAACCACCACCATTTAAAGACAGAGAACCCTATTATGAAATGATGCAATGTCATTGATTGGTTCAGAAATGTGATTCTCCATTAACATCAATAACATTTTCGTTGTAAGTGGTTAGGTTTGTCGATGCCTTTTTGATTTCTATCACACGGACGAGCTCATCACACAGAACAATCACTCTTTAAGATTTTATAATGGTGCCTTCAAGTACTAAATCAACACACATAATTATTTCTGGTTTAGGTTGAACATGCCCATTATAGTGATTTCATCATGAAGCAATATGATATATTGGGCTCAGTTTTTTTGTTTTAATGAAAACCTTTAAAAGTGCAACTTCCTAAATTATTGAATTTACCCCCGCCATTAAAATGTAACTATATATAATCAAAGATAGTACACTAATCTACTAACACAGATTGCAGACAAAGTATTCATAATTTTTTTTAATAAAAAGAAAAGGTCTGGAAGGAACACCTAAGAATAGAGGGAGAATAATGTGAGCTATGCATAATAGTGCACACCTCAATGAAGTTCTAGACATCTTCTCCAGGACTGGTTCAGTTCCCCCACATTTAGCCATTGTAGCAGAACAACTAAGCATTATATAATGGCTGAATATTAGCCATTTGTATAGAACTGAAAATTGGGTCACAGGACAAGGTTTTGGATACTGCAGTTAAAATTGTACTTTTCATTTCTGAGCAACCTAAGATCCACAAATAATAATCCTACATCAATGAATTTGTTAACTCTAATAATAAGGGACCTTCAATTTACCACCAGCAAGCATACTAGAAAGTTGAAGCAGGAAAAGTAGCTTGATCAACCAGTTGCATTTCCAGTTGCCATTAGTCACATCATTCGAAAAGATGAAAATAAGGTTAGATTAATGTCAGGTCAAATACTACAAAGTGCCCAGCTGACAGGTTAAATTGTTTCTTTATAAGATGTGACCACGGCTTAGAAATAACTGTTGGAACCAAAAAGGTCAAAATGATTTTGAGAAAGGCAGAAATGAGGGCTCTTCTCCATAGGAAAAATAATTTCTGTGAAAATGTATGCTATTACTAAGACAAACAACAATAGTGATATAGGTTAAGGGCTCCAGTGGGTCAATGTACTCCCTGTGAAGCCAGTTTATTTTGATTTGGCTGCAGAAGGTACCAAAAACCCCTAAGCAAAAGATACTGCAAAGAAGAAGAAAAAGCATTATTCAGGTACCATGTTCTGAAACTCATTTGTTCTTCTAATAATTATTATATAACAAGTGATTCTCTTTCTACTGTATCTTACCATCATTGCAATAGCCACAAAACTCTATAAAGTGGGCATAATAATTTAGACCATACTGGACAAACATTAAAACTATGCTTATATTTGTTTTTAGAAAATAAGGAGCAGGGCTTTACAAATAATGGAAAAAGAGAGCGGTGTAGGAGAAGCTTGATAAAGGATGAGATTCAAAGTACTACTTATACATCCTCCATTCATTATAGTGAGGTTTGCAGGAAAAGCTGCCATTGGCAATTGATTCCATAGATATCTGAAGGTGAACTATTTTGCAAAACTAAGAATTATATTTAAAGAAAGGAATGTGAAAATTGGCTGGGGAAAATCTGGTACCACACACAAAGGAAGCATCTGTACAATGGACATTATAACATGTTTTGAAAGCAGACTCGGAAAAAATGCCAATCAGGTAGAATAATAACATAAACAAGATCGGTAAATCTGAACCTTTTTTGTTGGTTAGTAAGGTTTATGAGAACCTACTCATCAAGTTATCTACAGCAGCCAATATTCTCTAGATTCCCTTATTGGATGAACTTATTCGGGGTAACACTATTATGGGTGAATAACGAGAACCATGTAAGAATATACAGTAATACATAGCAGGATTACAAAAAACAAAACGCCCCCCACTTCTTGAGTTAATTCGCTCCATTAAAGATATTTCCAACAGTGTCTCAAGAATACCTTCTTGAATGGCACAGTTTCAGGTACCTATCAATTATATACAGTATATTTATATCTATATAAATTATTCTGCAACCAAAAAGAATTGCTCTCAGAAAATTACTATGGTGTTTTAGCACAAGTTCAGATGGGAAAGTACAGCGCAGAATTCCATGCAGCCATAGCAAACAGAGGAGCTCTCTTTTATCCTACTTTACAGAAGGTGTTCACAAAACCATTCTTCGAACTCCACATTCACAGCAGAATTTTGCAGATTCCACCGGGTATTTGGCGCCGCATTCGTAACAGAATTTTGGTAACTGTGCAGGTGAATTTCCCTCATTGCTTTTTGAACTTGCTCCATTGACAGAAGATGAGCAGTCTCCACTGTCATATCCAGTTCTTCATCAGCCATTGAACATTCAAAATGGAGAACATTATAGAGTTTAGATAAATGTTAATAGTTTATGCGTGATTTGCAAAGCATTCATTCTGACCTTTCCCTTACAATAGTTCTTCAGTAACGTATCATTCCAAAAACATGGCCTTCTTACTACAAAATAAAATAAAATCCCACAATACTTCCTTGCTGGATTATACAACTCAAACTCCATGCTAGCACTGGAGAACCTTAGGCCAATGGAATAAACTGAAAGAATCAAATTAATAGGCCCTTGTGTCAAATGTAAGGGCCCAATGGAACATGAAATAGAAGTTCTGTGATCAGGATATTCTATACTTCTTGCACTGCTAACTGGAAACCTCATCAGGCTCCCGTGGAAGATCAGGAGGTGATATTCAGTATGCCTTCCATCATGCTCTTTCAGCTGATATAAAGCCATTCCCGTTAAGTGACTACTAGTTGCCCTGGTCTGCCCCTCTACAGAAAGGAAAGGTTACACCATCTCTTCCCATAATAACAGTCCTGATTATTAAAGCAATCCTGTAGGAAAAGATATGGAAGGGTCTGGATCGTGTCATATCTAGAAGGGACATAAAGGACACAAGTAAGCTCAAATTCTGTGGGCAATGGAGCAGAGAATAGAAGTCCAAGGTGCTATATACAGTGGTGCCTCGCAAGACGAAATTAATTCGTTCCGCAAGTCTCTTCGTCTTGCGAGTTTTTCGTCTTGCGATGCACGGTTTCCCATAGGAATGCATTGAAAATCAATTAATGCGTTCCTAGGGAAACCGCCTTCAGACCAGGTCCGGGGACAGTCTGTCCCCGGACCTCTTCTGAAGGCTGGGGGGCAAGGGCTTTTCTTCCCACCCCCAGCATTTTAAAACCCCGGGACAGCGGAGGACTTCTCCGCTGTCCGGGCGATCTTAAAATGCTGGCGGGCGGCATTTTAAAATCACCCCGGGACAGCGGAGGACTTCTCCGCTGTCCGGGGCAATTTAAAGCCCCTGGGAAGGCAGGCAGGGGGACAAAGACTTTGCCCCCGCCAGCCTTCAGAAGAGGTCCTGGACCTCTTCTGAAGGCGGGCGGGGCGAAAGTCTTGCTCCCCGCCTTCAAAGCCCTCCGGGACAGGCAGGCAGGGGAGCAAAGACTTTCGCCCCCGCCCGCCTTCAGAAGGTCTTCCCTCCCCCGCCCGGCTCGGAGCACCGCCCGAAGCCGGGCGGCGGCGGGAGGTCTTCCTCCCCCGCCCGGCTCGGAGCACCGTCCGAGCCGGGCGGCGGCGGGAGGTGTTCCCTCCCCCGCCCGGCTCGGAGCACCGTTCCGAGGCCGGGCGGCGGCGGGAGGTCTTCCCTCCCCCGCCCGGCTCGGAGCACCGTCCCGAGCCGGGCGGCGGCGGGAGGTGTTCCCTCCCCCGCCCGGCTCGGAGCACCGCTCCGAAGCCGGGCGGCGGGGAGGTCTTCCTCCCCACCGCCCGGCTCGGAGCACCGTTCCGAGGCCGGGCGGCGGGGAGGTCTTCCCTCCCCCCGCCCGGCTCGGAGCACCGTCCCGAGCCGGGCGGCGGCGGCAGGTGTTCCCTCCCCCCGCCCGGCCGGAGCACTGTTCCAAAGCCAGGCGGCGGGGGAGGTGTTCCCTCCCCCCGCCCGGCCGGAGGAGCCTTCCGAGCCCGGCGGCGGCGGGAGGAGGTGTCCCCGCCCCGCCGCCAGGCTTCGGAGGAGGTCCGAGGACAGTGGGGAAGACGCGCTGCGCTTCCCCGCTGTCCCTGAGATTTCCTATGGGCTGTCGTCTTGCGAAGCAAGCCCATAGGGAAATTGCTTTAGCGAGCGCCTCCAAAACGGAAAACCCTTTCGTCTAGCGGGTTTTCCGTCTTGCGAGGCGTTCGTCTTGCGGGGCACCACTGTATAAAGCAGAGGCAGATGCTAGCAGTTAACCTCTGAAACTCTTAGAATATAATAATTATTGCATTTGTTAATTTCCTGCCTTTTCCAGGAACCAGGACTCAAGGTGGCTTACAGGAACATGAATAAAACACAGAAATGTAAAAACATAGAAGACAGGTAGCTTAAAATTTAATTAAACTATGATAGAATAAAAACAATATAAAAAAGAAAACTATTTACATGCAGATAGTAAAAAAGAAAAAAGCACAGAACTATTAAAATCATTTTCCTTAAAAAAACATCAGTTCCCAAAAGCCTGTTGGAATAAGGTCTTCATTTGCCGGTGGAAGAACAAGGAGGGAGTCTAACCTCTCTAGGAAGGCAGTACCAAAGTCTGGGAGCAGCCACTGAGAACGTGCCTGTGATTCTTTTAAGTATTCCATTCCAAGGCCAGTTGTCTTATCCCTCAGTATTTATTTGTGATGCTATCCCCTCCCCCCCCCCCAAATCAAGTGCCTAGGCTGAATTGTTTTTTTAAAGTGTAATTGTAACACCGCCACAACAAGACAGTAATCTTCAGATATATGAAAGCCGTAAATACTTCCAGAAAGGCAAAATTCACGAATTACCTGTTTGAGTAGTTTTCAGTACTATAAGCTTTTCTTTTGTTTGCCATCATACCTATGCCAGCATTCCGTGCCACATTAGTAGGTGCAACTGTCCGTGATTTCATGGACCCTCTAAAAGATAACAGTAATTCAGTCAATTAGGCAGAATTTAGAAGCAAACAAAAGCTTAGGGTACGAGCCAGTGTCAACACACAATAAGATGCTGTGCACACAGAGGTTTCTCTGTATGTAGCAGGGCTGCCAGTGGGGACTGGTGCTTGGGGTATGAAGGGAGGCATTAGGGTTCACTGACCATGCTAAACAACGAATTGGCTCTGACAACAAGTTACACTGGGATCAACTGCAGTAGGAAGTTCCCTCCTAAAGGTGTGCTGTCATTTAGAACTGTCACTGGCGTCATCACGATGTCAGGTGATCAACAAGTGGCTGGCCCCACCCACCTGTCAAAATGGCACCCTGGGTGGAGAGGTTGAGATCTGGCCTGCCAGCTGGGAATAGTTTTCCACCTTTGATATGCAAACGTTTCCCATGTTGAATTCTTTGGCTCTGATCCCAAATTCTAGAGGTGCTTAGATGTGCACATGAAATGCAATTTCTGCAGGCTTCCCCATTAACTTCAGTGGGGAAGAGGCAGTTCCGAGCATTCATCTCCATGTTCAAAGCAGTTTACTACCAACAGAAGTCAACGGGGAAGCTCTTGCACATATGGGCTCCAGGGGGCAGGTGATTGCAGCTGCTAGTCTGGTTCTGTTTCTGGTTAGATAATTACCCACAAACTAAACTGTCATATACACTGAAGTCTCTCATGGGTGTTTATTTAAACCAATTCCAGGTTCAGTAACTTGACGTACTGTCCAAAGATAAAAAATCTCTACTTTAGATTTGGTTCTTCGCCTTTCAACATGAACAGACTTAAAAACAACAAAGGAGAAACGGGAAAACAAGTTCAACTAAATGAGAGGGCAGAAGTCAAGCAGCCCCAAGCAAACACTATAGTAAATTCAAAATACACCAGAGCCACATACATATTCAGAATAGCATTCTTTTAATTGTCACACACTGTCTCACATCAGCAGCAATTAAAAAGCAATGTCTAAATTTATTTTCAAATATAAGCCCTAAACCCCATTGCTACTAATATGTTTTATCTGCTTTTCCTGCAGAGATCAAATACTGCCACCTAGAGTACAAGAGAAAAATATGCAGTTGTTTGGGGCCGTTAGCCCAAATTAGCATTGACTATTGATATCAAGAGCTTCCTGCTGATGTTCCTCCATTGCTTCTACCACACAAACATTCAGCAGCAAGAGTAATCGCAATACACAAAATATACTGATTGATACAGTGCCTGAGAATCTGTGTGAGACGAACTGATTTTCAACCTAGCGATTTTCAACAAAATATTATTGTGCTGCACAGATTTTCACTGTATTTATAAAATTCACTCTTTTACACAGAAACCACCACGAAGGACGAAGTATTCAAAGGTGTTTATTAAATACTATGCGTACAGCGTTAACTGTGCACTTACCCTGTTTGGGGGCTTGTCCTTGTTGAGTTTTTATGAGCTGGAGACAAACTTTGGATTTTACTTCCCACTGGCCCACTTGTAGACAGAATTTTATTTGCAGGTGTACCTTTTTAAACAAACATGGAAATATCATTTCTGTGCTTAGCAGCTTTACTTTATTCTTACTTCACATCATGAAACTACATGCAATGAGGGAGTTTCTGTGATTTGATACCCTGAATTAAGAGGAGACGTCAGAGCTGACAAATGGGATTGCAGCTGCAGTACTGCTGGGTGGGTGTTATCCTCCTCCCCAGTACAGTTGTACCTTGGAAGCTGAACAGAATCCGTTCCGGAAGTCCATTCAACTTCCAAAATGTTCAGAAACCAAAGCGCGGCTTCTGATTGGCTGCAGGAAGCTCCTGCAGCCAATCGGAATCCATGGAAGCCCCGTCGGACGTTCGGCTTCCAAAAATAGTTCGCAAACCGGAACAGTCACTTCCGTGTTTGCAACATTTGGGAGCCAAAATGTTCAGGAACTAAGCTGTTCGACTTCCAAGGTACGACCGTATGTATTAGTCCTAGTGAAGTACAGTGGTACCTCGGGTTAAGTACTTAATTCGTTCTGGAGGTCCGTTCTTAACCTGAAACTGTTCTTAACCTGAAGCACCACTTTAGCTAATGGGGCCTGCTCTTGCTGCCACGCCACTGCCGCACGATTTCTGTTCTCATCCTGAAGAAAAGTTCTTAACCTGAAGCACTATTTCTGGGTTAGCGGAGTCTATAACCTGAAGTGTATGTAACCTGAAGCGTATGTAACCCGAGGTACCACTGTACCTTAATTGTGAGTCTCCCCAACCTTCCCCTGCTGTAAATAAACAGCAACTTCAGGATGGGCAGATTTTGACCGAGAAAGCAGCAAAGCTGGGCCAGTGGGGAGAGGAAGCACTGGCCAACTGAGGCAGAGAGAAATGAAGTCCAGTTATTCACCACAAAGAGCATTGAAGTGACCCTGTAACTGCCTAGTATCATCTTAGCAGGGCAATCATGGAAGATAATGACTTGCCCAGAAGACTTCAGGCTGTGTGGGGATTATGGACATAAAAATACTTTTTCTGTATTAGAAAAAAAATACAGTTCTAGTTCAGCATCCTATTTTTCTTAATAGCCAACCAGATTTCAAGCCAGGTTTCCCCATCCAAACCCAAAGCTCTATGCAATAGAACATGCTGACTCATTATTCAGGAGGTATATCAATACCACAAGCAAGGCTAGCTGCCCTACAAGTCATAATTTAATGCATTTTACAGTAGCCATGCAAATGTTTAAAAATAAATCAGGCTGTTTTCCAGCATTTCCCACTGTTTGATACATCACCTTCCTACCCAATCACTGAAATGTTCTTCTCAAGTCAGGACGAACAAGCATCATAGTTTCTTTGTGCAGTTTTAAATGGCCACAAGAAGCAGCCACAACAGGCACCGCAAGAAAGCAAGAAAGGCAAGGTACCCTGTCTCGAAAGCATAGCTTTTTCTCATCTCCTACTCTCCTAGCAGTAATACTGCCTTAGTAACAGGCCTGAAAGCACTGCACAACTGTTTTCAAGATTCTAGGTAAAGGTAAAGGGACCCCTGACCATTAGGTTCAGTTGTGGCCGACTCTGGGGTTGCGGAGCTCATCTCGCTTTATTGGCCGAGGGAACCGGCGTACAGCTTCTGGGTCATGTGGACGGCATGACTAAGCCGCTTCTGGCGAACCAGAGCAGCGCACGGAAACGCCGTTTACCTTCCCACCGGAGTGGTATCTATTCATCTACTTGCACTTTGATGTGCTTTTGAACTGCTAGGTTGGCAGGAGCAGGGACCGAGCAACGGGAGCTCACCCCATCACAGGGATTTGAACCGCCGACCTTCTGATCGGCAAGTCCTAGGCTCTGTGGTTTAACCCACAGCACCACCTGCGCCCCTTTTTCAAGATTCTACATCTCACCTTTAAAGCAATAAAATAAATATTTTCTCTTTTAAAATGTGATGACTGAGAAGAACACAAAGAGTTTATCACAGTATGCAGCCTCAAAGCATTCACTCAATCACCTTCTGGTTATACTGTACATAGTTGAGCCACTGGTCTACCTAGCTCAATAGTGTCTACACTGACTGGCAGCTGCTCTCCAGGGATGTCTGCACATATCAGAGATGAATCCTGCTACTGAACTCTGTAGCAACATTTGCAAGTAACAAGCTCCATGGGAAGGTCTATATCATTGGCCTTCTGTTTCAACTTGAAATTCTTCAGCCGTGAAGATAAACACCAATAAACCATGGGAGAGCTGGGATGGGGAAACCAGATGTGGTTGGTTTGCAATTCCCATTTAGCTTCTGTCCGTATGGCCAAATGCCAGGGATAATGGGAGGTGCAGACCAGCAACCTGCTGAAGACTACAGAAGTTTGCATGCACATTGCAATAGCTTGGGTCCTTGATTCACATAAAGTAATGGCTGCAACAGCCATCTGTAGGCATCTCGTACCAAGGATTCCTCAACCCCCAGGAATAGAGGAAAAGGGGTGGCAGGAAAACTGTGTTCCATTCATGGAAAGAAAATCAGGATCCAAGCCATTATATCTATTAGCCTTGAGGCAATATTTATTCATGCATTCCTGATATGCAACTACAATAACAATTTTATTGACATTACTTGGTTGTGGTAAGCGTGATGAGGCTGGTGGTGTTATTCCTGATGGAGGCATCTTCTTTACTGATGGCGACTTGTACTGAAACAGACACAAAAACCAGTCATTGAACAACTCAGTCATACGGTTCCATGTCTTGAAATACTGTAATGATCAATAGCTCTGTATCTCATGGGGCGTTTGCAAATGTACCATAAAAAGTGGGTTCGAAATGCTGTGGTTTTTTCACTTCATCCAGGAAAATCTAGCGTCTACTCACCTATTACTATGAAAAGAACAATGTACATACCAAATATTCCAATGCTGATTTAAGTAAAGGCTGAGTGATCATCTTTTTATATGTTCGTAAGAAAATAAAAGCTGTGCTGGATCAGGCTCAAGGCCCATATCGTCCAGTACAGTACTCTGTTCTCACAGTGGCCAACCCAACATTCCTGGGAAGCCCGCAAGCAGAAACTGAGTGCATCAGAGCTCTCCCCACCTGCATTTCCTAGCACCTGGTACACACAGGCATGATTCTTATAGTGGAGGTGGAACACAGTCATCATAGCTAGCAGCCATTGATATCCCTGTCCCTTATTAATCTGTCTAATTCTCTTTTAAAGACATTCAGGGTGGTAGTTACCACCATCTCCTCTAACAGCAAATTCCATAATTTGACTATGTTTTGTGTGAAGCAATACGGACACTTCCAACATTCATCTTCACCGGATTTCGATCAATTCCAGTACAGTTGTACCTTGGATCTCAAACGCCTTGGTACTCGGGCATTCTGGCTCCTGAAAACCACAAATCCGGAAGTGAGTGTTCCGGTCTGTGAACGTTCTTTGGAACCTGAACATCCAAAGGGGCTTTCGCAGCTTCTGGTTGGCTGCTGGAGCTTCCTGCAGCCAATCAGAAGCCGCGCTTTGGTTTCTGAACGTTTTGGAAGTCGAATGGACTTCCGGAACGGATTCCGTTCAACTTCCAAGGCGTGACTGTATTATAAAAGTGGGAGAAAAACTTTTCTTTACCAACTTTCTCTACACCATGCATAATTTTATACACCTCTATCAAGTCCTCCAATACTTGCCTTTCCTCTGAGTTATAAAGCTGCAAATGTTGTCACCTTCCTCATAGCAGAGTTGCTTCATCTTCTTGACCATTTTGGTTGCCCTTTTCTGAAGCTTTTCCTCCCTTCATGAGGGGAAGTGACCAGAACTGTACACAGTATTCCAAGCGTGACTGCACCATAGATTGGTATAACTGCGCGATGCTATTGGCTTTTAAATTTTTAATCCCTTTCCTGATGATCCCTAGTGTGGAATTACTTCACTTCAGGCAGGGTTTATTATTCATCTGAGCAAATAATAATCATTCACCTGCGTTCGGGTAGGAAGCTTCCCTTTAGAATCAGTAACCACTTTTCCTTTATTAGTAATACGCGCTGCCTGTTCTTTGCAGAAATTGATGTGCCGATCAGCTGCACTTTCATTAAATCTTCTCTGGCAATATGGGCACTGGATATAATCTATATTCATCAGCAATTCATGAGACACAAAGAACAGTACAGGTTATTTATTAATTTAGTCACTCTGGTTTTATCCCAACTTTAACTCTAGACCTGACCCACAAAGTGCATGACAATAAAAACAGAAAACTGCTATAATATCTGAAACAGTATTATAAACGTGTTAAAAATCAAAAGCAAATCAGTAAAAATCAATGAAGATTCCTGAGTATTGAAGCCATCAGCATTCAAAAGCCCTCCCCCAAAATGCACATAAAAGCCAAAAGCAAATGGGTTTTTGCTTTTTAAGGAGGCAGGTCCAAGTGATAGTGGCCACCATTAAAAGAAGTCTGCTGAACAATACAAGCCTAGCTTTTGAGTGTTAATGCAGGAGGAGTACCTGGAGTCTGCCTGACCACCTAATCCCAAAATATCAAGTTGTAGATTGACAAATAACTCCTAACCCTAAGGGACCTAGAATATGCTTTTTCTATAAAGGTTTCACCACCAGTTCAACCACTGGGACAGGCAATGAAGGGAGATTATCACCTCTCAACTTGTCTTCAGTTGAGACTTAACGTATCAGGTTGGGCAGGAGTCAAGCAAGCAGGTAATATGTTAGACCTTTCCAATAATCCTACAGCTTCAGATGATGAAAGTTAGAATTTATGCAAACACACACAACTGATTAATGCACTGAATGTTTCCAATACAGCGGTACCTCCACTTATGTATCCCTCCAGTTACGTAAACTTTGGGATACGTAAGCAGCAAACCCAGAAGTATAATTCCGGGTTTTCGCCACACGCGCAAAATTGCTCTATGTACTGCGTGCATGCGCAGAAGCGCCACCTCCAGCAGCAAATTTCTCGGGCTGCGGCCGGAGCTCCGGAACAGATCCCGTTCGCAACCGGAGGTACCACTGTACAAAGTCAGTGGCCAATGTGAAATTCAGCTGGAATAGATCTGAGTGACTGCAAAATCTCAACACATATAGCAAATATACACCTTTAAGTGCCTGGCAAAAACGTTCCTTTTAACCAGGCCTTTGGTTGATTTGATTGACATGCTGTGCCCTTTTAAAATGTGGTGGGGGTTTTTTTGGGGGGAGGGATTATTGGGTTGTTCTTTTTATTTTTATTTTTATTATGCATTTTGTGGTTTTATATTTTTATTTTATTCTGTGAACTGCCCTGAGACCTCTGGGTACAGGGCCGTATATAAATTCTTCAGCAACAACAAGTAAGTCACAGGGAACTATTCTGACCATGTTTAGGGCCTTTAACCAACTGGAAACCTTCTGTTAGACAACACAGCAGACATCACAGTAAAGGAGAAACACAGGAGGTTTTGCCATCACTGGCAAGGAGTACACTTTCAAATTAACTCAAGCCTGTGTTTTGTCAGACTTCCTGGAATTTTCTGTCACTGGCACTCCAAGCACTATTCCTGCTGTCTCATCCTTTGCCGGTACAAGATGCAGCAAAACATTCTGGGAACCAAATATAGCAAGCAGACTCAGCTTTTGGTTAACTATAAGCTTTCCAGATTATATCTGAGTGCCATCGAAATACTCCTACAAGGCAAAGTCAAAAATGCAAAGAGGAGAGCCTAACAATAATTTTATTATTTATACCCCACCCATCTGGCTGGGTTGCCCCAGCCACTCGAGGATCTAATGGCAGCTTGGAGAACTTTCTCTTACAGACACGTAACTTTTTCCAGCATTGCAATTTTTGACACAAGAATGATTCCGTCACAGCACTTTGGGAAGGAGAATAGACCGAAAAAACAATATTATATCCGTGGCTGTGTGACACCCAAGGTAAAAAAACCATTAAAATTCTGCATAACTTATTTTGCATTGCTTATTCTGTGATTTTATTCTTAGTATAATTTATTTTGATTTTGCTAGATGCAAAGGTGATATTCAACTTTGCTGGGGACTAAAGTAATTCCAAATACATAAAACATTTATTCAGGAACATCCCTAGTTTTAGAGATTTCCATGAGCACTGCTTACTTAAGCAGTATCTTTGAAGTCTATCTTTGCAGCCAAAATGGCTAAAAAAACTCATCTGGAGGAAAGTGGGAAATGTTGATGCCAAGTTACCGCCATTTCGTCCCACGCCTCCATTTTATTTTCAGTCTCTACCTTCTCTGCAAGTGCAAAACTGACAAGGTCAAGTGACTAAAGAAAACGGTGCCAGTCACCAGCCTCTACTGAATTGAAAAGAAAGAATTCCTAACACTAGGTGCTCTGCTAGGACATGCAAAAGCCAATAATCCCTTCCACCCTAATGCAATCAGGACTAGAGATGAACCCATGAGAGTCTGGTCCGTCCCAGTTCTCAGAAGGGACAAGACAACATCTCTCACTCATAGATATTTAATGGATTTCTACCTGGGGAAAAATGGTAAAATAATAATAACAGGAACTTCAAAGGTAGTCTAATACTCGTTTGATGCTTGTTTCTCTCCCCCCCCCCTTTTCTTTTAAACTTCTAAAAGTATAACACCCATCCCTCTTGGCCTCCACACTGTAAACACTGGGGGCAGCCATGTTTTTTTGCCATATAATTTCCCTAAAGCAACAGGACACCATCAAGCTCCATGCCTCACAAGGGGACTTGCTGTAAGTGCATTCAAAGTGCACAGCAGCAAAACGTCTCATGTGCTAACCATTACAGGCTGCGGCAAGCGATGTGCCCTACTTTCAGAAAGGAAAAAAATCTTTTTTAAAAGAACAGAGGCAGAACAGAACCCTCCAACCGCCTCTCAAATGATTCCACAAGGCTGCAATTTTTCAAGTGAACCACTGATCCAGGATCAAATCAGGCGAGTCCATTTTGCACTCTGAGCAGGAAAAGAGTCACACCCCACATCCCTAATCAGCACAACACAAAACTATTACTGGACCAACAATGTTTTGTTTTGTTTTCTTTAATAAAATTTCTACACCTTTTGATTGTAAAAAGGCTCAAATCAGTTTACAAAATATCAATAAGCCTGTGTTCTTTTACGCTGTAGTACCAAGCACAGCCTTCCTGAATCCTGCCTCTCTTTTCAAGTAGATTCACCATCTCTGCCCTTTTTGTTCCCCTGGAGAGCCCCTTTCTACAGATATCTAAATTTTAGATTTCTAAGACTAATATGGGTATGACTTCTGAAAGTGTGATTTCAAGAGCAGACTTACTGGTCTGCACTCAGCCACTTGGGATGACTGTGTCCATGTTCCATCACCCCCTGAACCTGCCAGCTGAAAGCTCTGCCATGGCCTAGGAGAATGCCTGCTCTTTTTAGGATGCCACTGGGGATTATGTTTCCCCTTCCCTTCATCTGTGCATTTAAGAGGTAAATCTCACCTTCTTAGTCTACCTTGCCTGCAGGCTTTTTGGATTAATTCCTTGCCCTCCCATTTTGAGGCAATGAAATGCCTTGAACTGTACGTTAGTCTTGTTTATGACCAGACAAAACACCTGACCCTTTGAGAGACACAGGTTGTGTCTGTCTAGCCATTCATTAGCAATATTGCTCAAAACAGATGCTGCAGTTGAAGCCCACAACGTCACATCACATACCAGGATCGTAAGTAGGTGGTGGTGGTGGCGGCAGTTTTCCACCTTCTTTAAGGACCTGATCAACTCCTTTGGCTGCTCGTATAGCTGCTATGAGTTCCTCGTGCTTTCTCCTCCAGTTTGATTGTTTCTTTGGGGGCTCCGGCTAAGAAGACAACAGAAGCAGCATACACAAATTAGCAATTTGATAAAAGTGATTTCTTCAGCTGGGCATACAATATTATATATAACACCACTAAATACATATCTTCCCTTAACCATGAAGTAATGTTGCTTTTCAGGAGATAAGCAGAGTTTATACAAAAGCTGTATTTAGATCCTTTGACAGGGAAGTTGTGAGAGCACTTATGAAACAAATATAGAAGCAATACATTTAATATTTCATTAGACACTGCTGACAGTGATTTCCAAAAAAGAACTCTGTATACCTAAGCGGAAGCAATGTGCACCTTTTCCATGGTCCTATACACTGGGTTAACCACTTCACTCTTTTGGCTGTATTTTCCTATTGACATTATTTACTTATCTCTGTGTTGCTGTTGTTATTTAAAGAATACCATGTATATAAGTCACCTTTCTGGTCCATGGAAAATCACTGCTAATGTCACAATAGCATGTCCAAAAAACAAACAAAATCCTGTACCAGTAAAACCAATGGAAACAAAATTTTGCAAAGTCTTTTTGAATACTATAACTCTGCCCACCAATCTAACTGATCTCAAAAGCCAATGATATCAGCAGGGCCTCCTGAATACCTATTTTAAGGCACAGACAGACGCATACAGGCAGTCATTCAAATAACCTGACTTTCAGCCACCTAGGGCTTTAAAAGTCAAAATCAGTACAGTGGACACTCAGGTTGTGAACGTGATCTGTGCGGGAGGCACGTTCGCAACCTGCAGTGTTTGCAATCCGCAGCACCGCATCTTTGCACATGCAGGTCGCGATTCGGCGCATGTGCGAAGTGCGATTTAATGCTTCTGCACATGCACCGAAACCCAGAAGTAACCCATTCTGGTACTTCCGGGTTTGGCGCGGTGCGCAACCCAAAAACGCGCAACCTGAAGCGTCTGTAACCCAAGGTGTGACTGTACTTGAACTGAGCCTAGTACTGCATCAGTAATTAGTGGAACTGGTACAGAATCAATAAAATATGTTCTGAGAACCTGGGTCAAATGAGTACCCAAGCAGACATATTCTGCACCAGCAGAACTTTCTGAGTTGCATTCAAAGGCAGTCCCCTGTAGATATCACCTATGTGGCCTGGTTAGGAAGAGCCATTCTTTGGGAATCACTAGTATCGCCTGCTTTCATTCATAGTTTGGTAATTAGCTGCTGTGTTACGTCTGTTCCACCAAATATTGTTATACAAAATAAACTCCAGGTGGTGTATGACTATGCAAGCTTTTGATCTTAAGCATCGAAGACATTCTGCATAATCAAACAGCTTGCAGACTTCTATACCAACAGAAACTGGGCTAGCGCATGATGTATTTCCTCTTTTCGTATACCACACAAGAAAAACTAGCCTTCTGAGATGCAGCATTTTTCACAGACACAATTTCTCTCTCTTTGCTGACTTAAAAAAAATCATTGCCACAGAATCTGTGTTCAAAGCCAAGAGATGCAAAGTTCACAGTAAAATATGGCCCTGCTCTAGTCTTCCATGCTTGCTGGAACTCCTTTGAGAAAGACAACTTTTTGTTATGAACTTACAAAGTGGCTCTACTAATGCTCCTAATAACCATACTAGCTGAGATCCTAAGGAGGAAGCAAATGTCGTTCAACAATTACTTCTAAGCACAGTCATACCTCATGTTGCGTCTGCTTCAGGTTATGTCTTTTCAAGTTGCGTCCCGCGGCAACCCAGAAGTACCTGAACGGTTACTTCCAGATTTCGCAGCTCGTGCATGCGCAGAAGCGGCACTTCTGGATGCGAACGCTTCGAGTGCCTCTGGGACGGATTACGTCCGCAACTCGAGGTTTCACTGTAATAATGCTCAAGCTTGATTTATTCCCGATTCCATCATGCCACATATTTCAAATCCAACATTAATTAACAGTCAGTACTTTTTAAATATTTAAATTTAATCCCCGCTAGGATATTGTGTGATGTATGCTGCTTAAGGCAATTACCACTCCCCTGCTAGATTTATTATATCCCATAGATTGTTATGAATAAACTTCCAAAGTCATCACGCACACACAGCTAATAACTGAACTACATGCCCATGGACATACAGTTGTCTAAAAAAAGGGAATATTCTAATGCTCCAGTACCTACCCGTGGCTTCAGAGGTTTGACGGTGGAAATATCAGTTCCCTCCGCTCTCTGTCTGCTGGAGTCAAATGCTTTTCTTTTTTTATTAGCAGCTCTTTGGCAAATGGGAACATGCTTCTTCTACAAGTAGAAGAGGAAAGAAATGCAACATTTATATTTCGAAAGCAGGTTTCCTCCCTCCCTTCCTCCTACTACCCATCCCATCAAATAAGCAGGGAGACATGGGAGGATAAAACTTATATGTATTCTTCGCCATGCCACCTTACTCAATAGTATAAAACAAAGCTGAAGTTTCAAATGCAAATCCATCCCATAATGTACTCAGGACTTTTATGAATAGATTCATTAATACTGACCAAGGCTGCATTCATACGACACTTTACTCTGTCTCCCCAAGATTTAGTTACCTTTATGTGATCATTCACATGATACAAAAGTCATTCCTGGAAATCTAGATGAAGTTCAGTGCTCATTTCCATATTAATTGTTTCCATAAAAAATCCATTTGCAACCCTGTTAACTTTGAAAATCATGAATTTTGTGTTGTAATTTTCCTGCAATTTCATGGTCAGGGATTTTTATTTTTTTAAAAACAGTTTTATGTTGTGTGTCTTTGTTTCTCAATTTGATCTTTTTACATGGTTTTGTAGGTTTTATGGTATTTTATGCATTGTGATTTGCTGTTTTGTTTTTTGATTATAGATTGGTAATTCTTTATTGTGGGTGATAAGTGTGAACTGCTTAATTATTATTTGCTGGTGTTTAATTTAACTGTTTACCATTAGATTCTGATGGATTGTTGGAATGTTGCTTTGTGTTATATAAGTTGCTTATTTTAAAGTTATTGTGACTTTTATATTGGATCAGATTGTTACTATTAATGTTTGATGTTTTATTATGTTTTTATGTGTTGGAAGCTGCCCAAAGTGGCTGGGACAACCCAGCCAGATGGGCGGGGTATGAATAACAATTTATTATTATTACTACTACTACTACTACTACTATTATAACACAGCCACTCCACGTCTGAATAATATGGGCAATAAACCCCATGTCTGAATGCAGCCCATATTATTAGGAACAAAACCAACTATGTCTGTAACCAGTGATAACTGCTTAAATGTATTTACAATTAAGTAGTATACAAGTTCCATCAATTAATTAAATAAAACAATTCAAATTGGCACAATAGCTTCACTTTTAAATGAAGGATTAGACATGAACATATTTTTAAGTCACCTGACTTTTATACTCACTAATGCATTTGGGAAAAAAGTCCTCCCACAAATCTTGCATGGTAAAAGATCTTCAGCTGGTCCCACACTTCCGTTATCTTAAAAGAAACACACATATACATTATGGCATTGCAATTCCTATTTAACTCTTAATCTGCAATTATATTTATGTTTTCTGTAAATTGCTAAAAATGAAACTACAAGTCAGGCCTTAATTATAATAGAGCTCATAAGAGTCATTCATAACATTGCCTGCAGAGATTGAAATGATCTGCATTTCTCACATGGGAACATTAAAAGTTTTTCCTCCCATGAGCAGGAATAGAAAACCTGCTAAAATCTATGGTCTTTAGTGGTCTAATTACTGATTGGGACAGTGCCCCTAGTTTCTAACACTGAAATCCTACCATTATAAAATAGAATCAATCAGTATCTGAAGAACGCTGTGTAATATTTTGGAGGACATGAATAAAAGAGGCTAGATATGCAAGAAATTGTCTACATCAATAAATAATTTTTAGCACACAACTCCACCAGACAATACACTCATTTTAAAAAATTAAACTATGGGCAGAAACAAGGCCTATGAATGAGGTGTTGAATAGTTTTGTACATTGAATAAGACCGTGTTTTCTGTTCAGCAGAAAACAATGACTAGATAAGCATTCAAATCTTTTTGTTCCTTTTAAATGAAGCAGCATAAAAATCAACTATACTGACAGCAAAGAAGGCCACAGTCCTTCATCAGTATTTCAAGCAAATGTCTAAATATTACTATTCATTACCTCAACCCAGACAATATAAATAGCAAAAAAGAGAAAAAGAAAAAGCTTATCATCCTCCTTTTACATTTCATTTATGGATTCTGTATTGAGATTGCCAGCAAAACTCTAGGTACAGGACAATCCTTTTGCTGAGAGGACTCCCCCCCCCCCAAAATCACTCATTAGATCATCATCAAGGATTAGCCAAATTCCCAATTAAAATTGCCTGTGACAATGTACTAAAATATTGTACCAATACACAATACCTATATCACCATATATTATAAAAGTTCCTCTGCTGAGAAACCTCTTAAAGGACAGGAAACTACAAGAAGGAAGCAGCTGGACTGGAATGACTTATGGTATCAGTTGTCTCTATACCAGTGCACAGAGAATGGAAAACAAACAAGATGAATTTGAGCCCTCAATAGAGGGTGACAAATATGATCTAATAGGCATTACTGAAACCTGGTGGGATGACATTAATGACCGGAATGTAAGAATTGAGGGGTATATGGCCTATTCAAAAGAAATAGCCCAAACAGGAAAGAAGGAGAAGTAGCATTATATGTAATGTATGTGTACAGTTGTGAAGAAATCCATGACTTAAAGCAAGGAATGCAGTTTGAGAGTGCATGGGATAAAAACTGTAGGAGAAGGAAACAACAGTGACCTTACTGTGAGTGTCTGCTATAGACCTCCAAACCAGACTAAAGGGATGATACCTTCCTACAGCAGATTACCAAACATTCAAAAAGGAGAGACATAGTAGTTGTGGCAGACTTGAACGGCCCTAATACTTGCTGGAAGTCAAACTCTGCCAAAAATGTAAGGTCCTACAAATTCCTCAATTGCCTCACTGACAAGAGCAGCAACTCCTCACCAATGTCAGTGGCACTGGCTCTCTTTTCTTGATAAGTAACATCTCCCACCCCCACTCCTTCCCCATAGATTAAATGCAGGAGCAGAGTAAATGACAATGTCCAGGCCAGGAGGACAGGTCCTGGCATATAGTCCTGATTTGATGTCAGTTAGAATCATTACAAATGGGGCTCAAAGGAGCTACTGCCCTCCCTTGCCCATGTCAGTGCTGATTCTGTTTTGTGCTAATAGCATAATGACAATGTACAGCACTACCGAACCCTCAACAAATAGTGTTGTATTGTTGCAGCCGTACTCCTTTTTTTTTCAGTCTCCCTATATGAGTGAACTACTGTTCTTGGCAGATGTCCAATCAACTACAGCTGTATTTACAAAAAGGAAAAAAAGTAATCTATTAGGAAAGTGAATTATTTCCTTTGTACTTCAACCGAGCAACAGAAAGAGAAAAGTCATTCTCTTTTAAAATGTACAAGAAACAATTATTGTCTCATTTTCCCCATTAAGTTCATATATGCATGGACTTTTTAAAAAGTAAGTTTTAAAAATACAAACAAAAAGACCATCAGAAAGAAAAGTTGCACATTCTCATAATCTAGAACCCTCTAGAGATACAGCCACAGGGTTTCCTCCCTATGGAAACTGTTTCAATCAATCAATCAATCAATCAATCAATCAATCGTTTTATTTGTATGCTGCTTTTCCAAAGCCCAAACCATGCTCAAAGTGGCTCACAACATACAGTGGTACCTTGGTTAAGAACTTAATTCGTTCTGGAGGTCTGTTCTCAACCTGAAACTGTTCTTAACCTGAAGCACCACTTTAGCTTATGGGGCCTCCTGCTGCCGCCACGCCGCTGCCACATGATTTCTGTTCTCATCCTGAAGCAAAGTTCTTAACTTGAGGTACTATTTCTGGGTTAGCGGAGTTTGTAACCTGAAGTGTCTGTAACCTGAAGCGTATGTAACCCGAGGTACCACTGTACATAAAACAACAGGCGCAACAAAGTAGCCATAAACAATAAATAAACACTGAAAAGTACACAACCAAATTGAATAATTTTCACATAAGATACAATTGCAAGATACAACAAATTAACAGCAGCAACAACAGCAACAACCTCCACCCAACAAAACATGCTAAATAATGCCGCAGCCCAATAGTCCGTTCACCAGACTCAGCTTTTGTAGCTGGAGTCAGTCAAGGCCCTGCCCTCCCAGACCACGTGGGAAAAGGCCTGCAGGGCAGGGAGCAGGTCTTCTAGGACGCACAGCCACGATGGTCTAAAACCCTGGAGAGTTGCTGCCAGTCAGTGTAGCAGATAATACTGAGCTCAGGAGAACGAGGAAAATTCTTAGGGACGCCTCACACCTGGCCAGCACTTCTTTAATCTTCTACCTTTGGGCAGGAGATACAGAAGTATAGTCAGTCCCACCAACAGGTTAAAGAACAGTTTTTATCCGTGGGCTGTTGGGCTGCTGAATGGGAAAAAAAATGGTGTAATTGACTTCTGACAAGCACACAGAGCATGAACAAGACTGAGTGTATGTGGGGGGAGAGGGAGGCTCATTTAATTTCACTGCACACAGGTGGTGTAGTGACAATACAGGTTTATTATTATTATTATTATTTAGAGGGACTAATGGTATGACTCAGTATAAGGCCACGTCCTAAATTGCTAAGACAGATTTCATGCCATAACTTTTGCAAGCTTGAATAAGCTTCTTTATTTAAAAAGTATCCTCTGCTGAAGTTAGCTTGATGACACTTTATATTTAAGCACTTTCCTGGGAGGCACAGGCCACCTGGAACCGCATGCATCCTCCCTCTACACCCTGCACAAAAATAAAAGCTGGCTTCGGAGGAGGGAAACCCTCTACTCTGCACCCAGCATGGAATTACAGCACGGTGCTGCAGGAGTCTCTAGTATTTTTATTTATTATTATTATTATTATTAATTATTATTATTATTATTATTATTTGCATCTAGTAACTTTTGTGAGTTTATTTACAAGGCTGGATTACACATTCAGTAAGATCCAACATCCTGCAAGTTTTCATTGAGAGGCTTAACAAAGAAAAAGGGGGCGTGGAGGTTAGGTTTGACTCTGGTTGGCCATACCAGGAAGTCTCACAGGCCTTTATTATCAGATATAATAGCAAAGAAATTTGACTTCACATTCAATCTGCATACAGCAGCAGCCCACCAGTGCTGTTAATCCACCTTTGCTTCACATAGCAAAGCACCACTTATCATCATCATCATATAACATCCTATATTATAATTCTGATACATTTATTCAAGTGCCATCACTTACACAACCAAAATGATAATAACTACGCACAAGACTGATGTATCAGGTATGGAAGAACATCTAGCCTTGCAGAAGCAGCGTAACAGTAAGAGAGTGTGTCTACAAACAGCTCAACCGATTATCATGGGTAGCGGATCAATGGCAGCAATCTTGCTACTGCGTGCGCTTGTTGAGTCTATACAAGATCAATGAAAGAAAAGATATCACTGGCCCTATTCCCTAACTATCAGTGGTATTTAATTATGCATGTAAGCTTCAAGGCATTTGCTGATATTTGTCTTTACAACATGAAGCAATTCACCTCTCAAAGAAGTCCTGGAAAAGAATATACAAAGAATGACACAAAGATCAGTACTTGGAAGCTGGCTTCCTTGTACTGATTTCATGAGCGTTTTTCAATAAATATGTGCTGACACTTCCTGACTCAGCTATCAGTAATCGAAAATATAATTAATGGGAACTCATCTTTCCTTTGTGTATATAATGAAGGAAACTGTTTGGAATGGATAATGATAAATATTCTATTGCCATTCAATCCTGCATCTTTATTTATCATCTTTACATACCTTTCAGATATATTCATGCAGTGATTTTTTCGGGGGGAGGGGGCATAGGGGTACGCATACCCCTAAACATTTTGTGAATCTAATGGGAGAAGAAACTAAAAAATTTAAAATTTTAAGTTTCTTCTCTAGCACAGAGAATTGTCAGTCCCGTTGCTACCCCCAATGGCAGCCTCGTTTCCTGAGTCTCAGACAGAATGAGAGTACACCTAAACATTTTTTAGGGGGGGAAAGTACTGTATTCATGTATATGTCAAGCATGCATACCAATTACAATAAGTATATGGATTGGACTCCAATTCAACACTTCAGAAAAATGCTGGTTAGTGGTTCTGTGTTCCCTGCTGTAGTTTGCTCTGAATGTAGTTGTTGTATGCTAAATAAGTTCAAAAGACAAGGTAAAAATATCTTAAATAAATAAAGACTGGAGATGCAATGTACTAGAAGACAAAGTTGAAGGTCAGAAACTGAGAAAGCTTTGAATAGATGGTCACTTTTAAAAAAACCAGGCCAATTCCATAACATCCTTAAAAGACTGTGACATTTAACAAGTACAGTAGTGACCTAGATAGCAAGGAAAACCAGACAGAAAAAAGAAGTACAGTGGTATCGTAACTTTCATAATTATGCAGAATGTATTTTTATTTAACTTTCACAATTGAGCAAAGCAGTGTTAAAAAATGAGATATGCAAGCTAGGAGCTAAATGGCACCTTAAAAATAGGTTATGGGCGCAACAACGGAATGTCTAGGCGTGCTTTTTTAATAACAATACAAAGCTGAAAATAAATGAACTGCAGCTAAAATATTATGTTCATTTTTCACATGCTCTACTCCTTCCTCTGCCCAACCCCCTAAAATTATTAAGAGTGTCTCTTCTCCAGTCTTCAGAGAGTAGCTGGGAAGCAGAAAAAAGGTCCTCCTTTCTTTCCATTCCAGTTTTAATCTGAAATCTTAGGCGCAGCACTGTGGCCAGAGCTCAGAAACTGCTTGCGCTAATGAAATTCCCAGTCGCAAAATGCTCCTAGAACAATGAGAGTTTTGAACACTGGAGCAAAGAGATGCATTTTCTATTGCCCCTGAATAACAATTTGTACTTACTACAATTTCTTCTTTTACAGAATTATTAAAAATAAAGAGCTTGGAGATTTTATTTATAATTAAATAGAACACAAATACAGTTGAATAGATAAAAAACACATGAAAGAAGCCCTGTTCTTTGCACCTGGTTGCATCAAGTGGAGACATCTAGTCTGGACCACATGATGCCCTGCATCTGCTCTTGGATTACCACTCCCAGGATGGCCAATGGTTAGGGCTCATGGGAACTGTAGTTCAGGGACTCAGCCATACAGCCGCAAATAAAACATTTTAAGTGTGTTGTAAAGTGCAATACACAAATGTGACACTAGATGGCGATGGTAAGCCAAGGCAAATTCAATATATTTTTCAAAATGTTTTTTTAAAAAGCATTTTCACAGAGTTTTTTATATGTGTGTAGATTCCACCCAACAATGCCTAGAGGCCATTGGGTACCATGTTCTTGATGGAAAGTTGCTTTGTTAATTTTAAAACATAAAATATATTGTGTATAACCTGCTTTGATCACCATTTTGTGCCATAAATTCCTCATATTATTTTTGCTTTCTCACACACTGCAATGACTTATCAGCTACCCTGATAAATCAGTTTTAGTCATCTTACTCCAATGAACACTTATGTAAATAAAAGGGGAGGGTCATTGAGGAAACCTTTATAGTGGAACTTCAGGTTGCAGACATAATCCGTAACGGAGGCATGTCTGCAACCCGCAGCATTCACATCCTGAAGCACCGCATATGTGTGATTTGGCATTTCTGCGCATAGCGCGATTTAGCACTTCTGCCCATGCGGCAAAACCCGGAAGGAACCCGTTCCGGTACTTCCGGGTTTCCCATGGTCCGCGGCCTGAAAATGCGTAACCTGAAGCATCCATAACATTAGGTATGACTGTACAAGACCTTACCACCCAGTGTTTAATTCCCCATGGTTAATTAGTCCATTCTACATAGACATATATTAAAGAACTGGCATTTTTTTTAAAAAAATAAGTTTGAAGCAATATGCCTAATAAGCTCTTCATAGAATCAACACCAAGAATCTGCACAAATCTCATATTAAGATAAGCTTTATATTTCAACACACATGAATACCCTACAGAGTAGCAAGTCTCTAAGGAGAAAAATAAAATGAGATAAATCATTAAAACAGTAATGATCTATGGCAAAACTGCTTAACGGATTACTGCAGAAAGCACTAGTCCAATTACCTGCATTTCTTCAACAGGATTAAATTTTCTTCTGTTGTGCTACCATCTTTTTAAGATTAGTTGTATTTCTAGTTATCAAGTGGCCCTGCTTGAGTTTGCAACCTAAGTGTTATCCAGCTGGCAAGTCCCACAAGTTTTTTTAAAACTAAAAAATTTGACACATTCCATAAATAGCCTATTATAATTTCATTCCCAAAAAACTTCAGCACCATTTTTTTAAGGAAAAGTACTTAAGACTGTTCTCTAATCCTAGATTCGCAGACAATGGTCAATAAAGGCTGAAAAAATGAGGAATAGCAGAATCCCTTCTCTAACATTAGCTACTTGTGAATAATTTTCTAGGGCACAATATGAAGCAGAAGATCCATGCTCCATCAGTCAGAGCAGTCAACGCTAGACTAGCCAGAACAATTATATTCATCACTACAGATTAAGTACTTTGTCTTTTAAAGCACTTACTGGGCCGCCTGCTTCCTGTCCACGCCATCCCATTTTGTCCAATGTTACTAGGTCTCCTTTTCTCATGTCCCAGTCTTTCCTATCACATTTTGGCTGAATAGCCAGCACATGTGTGGCCTGAGTGTTTTAGTTGTCTGAATATTTTTTTAAGCAGCGTAACTCTGGCAAAGAAGCTCAACATCTAAGAGTGCATCACTGAAGCACAGATCATCATGTGTATGAGCAACCAAGCCAAGAAAGAGCAAAGGTGGGCATCTGTGAGAAGCCTGTGAGAAGCTCATTGTAGAATACTGAGCTGTACTCCTAGAAGATTGCCAAGATACAACTCCTGTATGATGCCCCTTGTAGCTTGCTATTGCCAACTATTACTTGTTGGATTGCTGTTAGATGTCTTATTATCTACTGCCAGGGTAGTGTTATTACTACTACAGTGGTACCTCGGGTTACATACGCTTCAGGTTACAGACTCTGCTAACCCAGAAATATTACCTCGGGTTAAGAACTTTTGCTTCAGGATGAGAACAGAAATCGTGCAGTAGCGGCGCAGCAGCAGGAGGCCCCATTAGCTAAAGTGGTGCTTCAGGTTAAGAACAGTTTCAGGTTAAGAACGGACCTCCGGAACGAATTAAGTACTTAACCCGAGGTACCACTGTACTGCAGGGTAGCAGCCAATGCTCTGGTGTGACAGAACCATGTGGCTTTACTTTCCAAGTGTTGCCCCTGTCCTTTCTCATGCCCTTCTCTTAACCTGTGTTTAAGTCCATTGAGTAGCTGTATGGTGTGATGGTGGTTAGTCATGCTGCTGACACTTTTCTGTATAATGACGTGTGGTCTGTATTTAAAACTGACTAGTATAGGTGGCAAGGATAACAATGGAGTGTGCACACATCACTTTACATCAGTGCAACAAAGCGTTCTGGGAGCCTGTAATGAAGCCACAATGCTGACATCACTACGTCCACCTCTCCAATACAGCTCCATGCAAATCTTGCAATAACTTACTTTATTGCAACAGGAACAGAAACATAGCTGCCTTATCTTCAATCAGGTCATTGGACCATATAGCTCAGAACTGTTTGCACTAGCAGCAACTATCTGGGGTTTCAAAGAGGAAACATTCCCACCCCTACCTGGATAATGAATTTTGGACTTTCTACATGCAAAGCAGACACTCTGCCACCCTTTATTGTAGCTGCACACTTCAATCCTCAGTTTTCTGCAACAACCCACTACAGAAACATTTAAAGTATATTGCTACAAAAATGTGCTTATCGACAATGTGAAGCAAAGGACTATTTATGGCCTCCCTGTCAGTGGACACCCTTAGCTAAACTTGAGCAATGTGGTTGTGGCAGCAATAAACTGAAGTTTTACATTAACGTTCTTAAAGAGATAGGAATGCAGTGTTTCATTAAATCATGAGTATTTTGACTCATTAAGACGACTTCCCTGATTTACACATATACCGTATTTTTCGCACCATTGGACGCACTTTTTTACTCTTAAAAAGTAAGGGGAAATGCCTGTGCATCCTATGGAGCGAATGTGTGGTCCCTGGAGCCAAATTGCCGGAGTGTGGCACACTCTTGGACTGGTCTTTGGTAGTGGTGGTGGAGCCGCGCTCCCCTGCCGGCAGCCTCGGCTTCCCCCTGCAGCCCCGGGAAGCTTTGGAGCAACGGGAGGGCTGTGCGCCCATGCCCCACACTCCAGGGCTGCTGAATGGGGGTGGGGGTGCTGCTCTGCCAGCAGCCTGCCCTTCCCCTCAAGGTTTGGAGCAGTGGGCAGGCTGTGCGCCCATGCCCCACAATCTTGGGCTGCTGAATGGGGGTGGGGGTGCTGCTCTGCCAACAGCCTGCCCTTCCCCTCAAGGTTTGGAGCAGTGGGCAGGCTGTGCGCCCATGCCCCACAATCTTGGGCTGCTGAATGGGGGTGGGGGTGCTGCTCTGCCAGCAGCCTGCCCTTCCCCTCAAGGTTTGGAGCAGTGGGCAGGCTGTGCGCCCATGCCCCACACTCCTGGGCTGCTGAATGGGGGTGGGGGGTGCTGCTCTGCCAGCAGCCTGCCCTTCCCCTCAAGGTTTGGAGCAGCTGGCAGGCTGTTCACTGAGAGAGGGGAGGAAGAGGATGGAGAGGAGGGGGACCAAGAAGCTGGGTGAAGGGAGATGAGGTACCATAGGCTGCCGTGAGTGGAGAGTCATGGTAGAGGGCAAAGGAGAGGGAGCAGTGAAGGGGAGAAATTGTAGACGTCACCTGAGGAGTTTGGGTGAAAGGGATGGAGAGGAGGAGGCTGGAAAAGGGGACTGTTCTGCTTGGGGGGTGGGGGAGAAAAAAGTGGGGGAAAGGAAAGCCTCCCAAGCCTGCCGCTGAGAAGCTCTGCTTGGCTGTTTCTTGACTGTAATTCAAGTAAAGGGAATGTTTGCGAGCAGCTGGCAGGCTGTTCGCTGAGAGAGGGGAGGAAGAGAATTGAGAGGAAAAAATGTGGCATTAGCAATGCTTTGGATGGATACGAAGATGGTATTTTACATGAAGATAGCGAAGAAAGTGATGTCAGTGACTGTGAGCAACTGAGCTTCATAAATTCTGACTTTAGCAGTGATGAGTTCTTGGGGTTCACAGAAGACTAGAAGAGTACTCAAACCTTAAAGTCTCTCTTCATTTGTTAATGACAGTGATGATGGTTCTTAATGCCATTGTTGACTGCTGTTCACTTTACATGGCTGTAATGTGATTCTGATATACCGGTTGTTTATTAAATACAGTAGTTTATACAACATTTGATTCAGAATATTTTTTCCTTGTTTTCCTCCTCTAAAAACTAGATGCGCCCTATGGTCGGGTGCGTCCAATGGAGCAAAAAATACGGTACACATAATATATTCATCTTAGCCACGGGGGCAGGAATCATCAAATATAATCAGGCTTTTCTCTCTCTCTTATGCTGGAGGAAAGGTCTCTGTTAAGGTGGTGTTGCTGCAAAAGATGCATACATCACCTAAAAGCCAAGACCAGATGACCATCTGACCAGATGATTTACAGGTGGTACCTCACGCCGGTAAAACTGGCAAAGATGTACAGAATGAAAAACAAGAAATGTTGGAAATGTGGAGAGGTAGAAGGAGATCTCTACCATATGTGGTGGAACTGCAGTAAAGAGGAAACTGATTTTCTAGATGCATTTCCATTGGGATTTAGGCCTGGTTTTGACACAGAAACTGCTTTGGTCACCCTGTATGACCTCTGTTGGAAGACAGGGGAATTGTGCCCGTTAATGCTCCTTGACCTCAGCCATGTTATCCTTCTGGAGTGGCTGTCTGAGTTAGGAGGGGTCGCCACTGCTTTGCGGTGGTTCCAGTCCTACTTGGATGGTCGTTTCTAGAGGGTGATACATGAAACCACTGAGTTTTGGAGTACTTTGTCAGCATTATACTGATGGCACACGTCTTCTTTAAATCTGCAGGTGTAGCAGTAGATCTGCTGGATAGTTCTTGCCTCAGTAATGGACTGGAGAGCCAATAAACTGAAGCTCAATCCAGGTTAGACTGAGGCATAGATAGGATGGATGAGAGGTTTCCTGAACATATAACACCAGTCTGAGTCTGACTTGCACTGGCTGCCAATTAGTTTGTGGGCCCAATTCAAAGTTCTGGTTTTTACATATAAAGACTCAAAAGGCTCAGGGGTGCAATACTTGAAGGGCTGCCTCTCCCCTTATGAATCAACCCAGACCGTGATCATCATCTGAGGCCCTCTTTTGTGTGCCCCCTCCACGAGAGGTCCAGAGGGTTGCTCCCCATTTGTAGAATATTCTCCCCCGGAAGGCTCACCTGGCAGCATAATTATTTACCTTTAGGCCCCAGGCAAAAACTTCCCTCTATAACCAGGCCTTTGGTTTTTAACTATTTGTGGCATTTTCAAAGTGGATGGGATTTTTTTAAATGTATTTCTTTTTCCTCTTGGTTTTAATGTATCTATGTGACATTTATTGTCTGTCTGCTCAACTGTAAGTCCCTTTGGGTTTCCTGAGCACTATAAAAGAACTGACAAATTTAATAAACAAAAAGAAGAAAGGAAGTATTTTTATTTGGAATCATTGTTTTATTGAGTTTTATATTTCAGTAGAATTGAAAGGATGAAAACTTACAATTAACCTACATTTTTTTTTTTAGCTGAGCGACAGCCCTGAAAAGATGTAGGGGGTTGTTTGAAAATGCCAAAACATTTCCCTTTCTGAAGGGTATGTACACATATGCCTAGAATACGTGAAACAACTAAAAATTCTAATAATAGCAGTACTTCATTCTTCCACACGAAAGAGAAAACTATCCCCCACTAGAGAGGCCACGGTTTCAATGCCCCTGAAGAGGCTGTGCCACTCTTTTGCCCCCTTTACCACATCAATAGAGGCCACTAGAGTGAAAGTAGGTAATGTAGGAGACCATTTGTTATGCTACTACAAAATGTGCTGTGATTTGCATGGCTTAAGTTATTTGATTTTATCATGTTAGGTCTGCAACTATTGCCTTAGTTGTACATCTAAACTGTTTTAACTATGGTAATCTGATTAGCGTTTAGTAATGTTGTGTTGGGCTTAGGTAGCAATCCTCTACACAAGAAGCCGGTGTAAATTCAGCTGGTGTAAAGTTACACCAGATCCAAACTCTGTTCAGTCACAGGGTTGCTGCTGGCAGAGGGAAAAGAAGTCTTTAAAATAGTGTTTGAGTTACACTATACAGTGGTACCTTGGGTTAAGAACTTAATTCATTCTGGAGGTCTGTTCTAACCTGAAACTGTTCTTAACCTGAAGCACAACTTTAGCTAATGGGGCCTCCTGCTGCTGCTGTGCCGCCGCTGCACGATTTCTGTTCTCATCCTGAAGCAAAGTTCTTAACCCGAGGTAATATTTCTGGGTTAGCGGAGTCTATAACCTGAAGCGTATGTAACCTGAAGCGTACCGCTGTACTTTTTTGCCAGCTTAATTTATGTCAGGTTGCAAGGTCACATGACCAAGCTGAGTGAGTTTAGGATCCAGACCCCACCCCTCTGGTCCTGTCTCTGCCATGCCCCGCCCCCATCTCTTTTTCAGGACTTACTTTGACTGAGCCAAGGATGAAGGAGATAAGGCACTAGATCCTAACCTGCTCACCTTGCTGAATCTGGCAGTAGGATGGCTCCCTTAATGTTTTATTGCTAGGGCTGGTTTGTTGGTTCTCAACTAGGAACCACAGATTACCTCAATTACTTCTCTTGTTTTTGTTCCCATGCAACTATTCTTACTACGAATATTGGTTTTTTAATTTTAAGAACAAAAGAATCACCTGCTGGTTCAGGCCAAAGACCCGTATAACCCAGCACTCTGTCTTCCCATTGGCTAACCAAATGTCTATGGGATGTTTGCAAGCAGAACCTGCATGCAGCAGTGTACACACCCTAAATGTCAAATGAAGACCTGCATAAGCCAAGAATTCTGGAACATCTTGTCTTTAACAAGAAGTAGGCATATACAAAAATCCTCCTCTCATGTTTTCAGACATTAAGATGCATAAGTGCTCCTGCAAGTAGCTTCAAGACAATAACTAGAATCTTTCAGTGAGCATCAGTTTTAATGGGATTTAAGCAGAGGAGTGCAGTCCAAATGGGAAATTGTCCTAAAGGGCTACCATTTTCAATTCTTTACTGAGGTCAGATTGTTTAGTTCTAGTTATCTGAATGTTTTTCTTAGTAAAACCTATCTCCTCCACTTCCACAGTGCATGTAAGTGTGAAAGATTATAAATGTCAGAAAAACATTTCTTCAGTTAGAATTTCTTTGTTAGAATTGTGAAATAAATAAATAAATAAAACAGATGACAAACCGCCCAAAATAATGCTGTCATCACCCTCAGAATGTCAGCTGTTCACAGCAAAAATAAATGAGCATATTGTTGGCTAAATGTGACAAGAATGCTGAGTAGCTAAGTAGAGGGAACTACTATACATGTAACATTTTAAAACAAACGATTTATTAAAGGCTTAGGAAAGCAATGAATGCTCAGCTTGCACAGCCAAAACTAGCCATACAAGGTCATTGCTCAGGAATGAGAAAACATGGGCATGCCAAGAGAACTCAGCCAAACACTACTTCACCACGGGGGAGATATGCTAAGCCAGCAAAGGACTCATCCCCAGTCTAAAAGGTTTTAGGCCTTTCCACACAAATGGCACTGAAATCATCTTTCCACCCACCCGGCTTCCCCTCTTGCATTTCCCACTGCTGCCACAGAAATATAAAACTTGCACCGGGTGCTAGAGTATATACCTGCATTAAAAATGGTTCTCTCAAGTTTCCTGTGCCAATATCCTCCATGTGATGCGTTCCATGCCACAAGCAGTCCCTCCCAATGCTCCTGAAAGCACCCTTCCCTCTCCCTCTTGTCTTGCATTGATTTTTTAAAAAAGCATGTAAAGACCTCATCACCCCCACCGTCAAAGAAACAAGATTCAACAAAACAGTTATGCAGTAAGGAAGATAACACTGAGAAGCTCGGACCTTAAAACTTGTCAGTTTTAGATAGGAAGAGTCATTGTTGCTGTTGCTCTTTTATATTATTACAGTTGTTCAGTGATTATTATTTTTTTCTGGGGCACCTCTAAACATTTTGTGAATCTAAGTTTGGCCTCATTGTGGGGCAGTGTTTCAAGATGAGTAGGAAAATGAGAGTACCCCTAAACATTTTTTTGGGGGGGGGGGGACACTGCTGTTGTTGCTGCTATTATTATTATTATTATTATTGGCTTCAGCAGCCTGCCAAGCAAATGCCTGAGAACCTAAGAGCGGCCTGCCTGGGACTAACCACCCACTGGACCCTTCAAGTCAGTCTAGCTTCATAGAATAACAAGCCCATCCCTGCCTTCCTCCCAGGAGCAGCCTTGCCCAGGACCAGATTTAGGTTTGATGAGGCCCTAAGCTACTGAAGGTAATGGGACCCTTTACATGTCCAGCTGTCCTTTGTCAACAACAAATTGTCGCTGTTTTTTGTGTTGAATATATGCTATATGGTCATTTATGGAGACCCAATAGGTCCACACACAACACAAAGCACTGTTGATGTAGGTTTTATTTTATGTCTTTTTTATCTTCTATTTTTGAAATGTACATCCAGGGGTTTTTTCCCCTTTAATTTTTTGGGGGGGCCCGGGGCCCTAAACTATAGCTTGTTTAGCTTCTACGTAAATCTGGCACTGGCCTTGCCCCTTGGCGACGAGTTCTGCAAACAGGGAAAGGAAGGGCTGGGCAAGGGAGGAGCAGCAGCAGCGCACCAAACGGCCAAGGGGGGGAAAGGCGAGGCGGAGGCGCTTTACGCAGGCGGCTTGCGCCCACCTTCCCGGCCCATTCTCGGAGGTCGGCGAAGGACCTTCTCCCGTCGCCTTCCCGGAGGAGGCCACCATTTCTTGCCTCCCTCCGGCACCTCCCTTCTTCCCAGCTCCGGAGAAACACACAAAGGCTCGGCCCTCCTCTCTCTCTCGCGCGCGGCGCGGCGGCTGCAGCCTTTTCCTCAGCGGAGAAGGCCTCCTCCCCGGGCCTTCTCCTCGCATCCCTCCCTTACCGTCCAGCTCTTCCATGGCGCCGCCGCCCCTTCAAGGCTCCAGCTCCCCGCCGCCGCCGCGAGTGTGGCCGCTGCTGTAGCAACCCGGCCGCCTCCCCGGCGCCAGCATCCCCCGCGCCCATTGGCTTCCCGGCGCAAGGAGGGGTGGGGAGGTGGGCGGCGCGGCGCGCGCAGTACGCATGGGATGGGCCGCCTTTGGAGACGCTCGGGACGCGTTGGGTTTTGCCTCCAAGGTCGCCCGGGTGTGATTTTCACAGCACGGTCCAGCCCGTGGGCGTTTGGGCGGCCTCCCCGCGACCTCCCGCCACGATTATTGCTCAACATTTCCCGGTAGCCTGAGGCGTCTCTCTCTCTCACACACGCAGACATATAACCCCACCCCATGTCTTTTGCAGCAGCGTGACGAGCAGAAATGCAAGGAACGTTCCGCAGGAATATCTTTCTCTCTGCAAGGGGTGATTCGCGTAGGGGCGTGTGTGGAGGGCATTAGGAAAAGTGTGAGGTTTTCCCCACCCACGCCGGCAGGCTAAAGGGACAGCAGCAGCATCGTGGCGAAAAGAAATCAAAACCGCAGCTTTTTGCTGACGTGCACCTGTTGAGTTAACTAGTGCGGTGCATGGCTGTTAAAAGGAGATTTGCCGGGGGGCGAAACCAGATGCAAGAAAAAAGCGGGGGTTCTTGTGCATATTTAATAGTTATATAGTAGAGGGAATTTCAGCAGGTGTTGCTTACAGGCTATGACAATGTCTCTTGCTTTCCCTGATGTAGAGAGGTTTGTGGGCTTTGTGTGGTTCAAAAGTAGTCTAATGTACAAGGTAACAAGGCACATCCAGTGCATCACCCACTTTTGTATCTGTCTCTGCTTGCTGCTGGCATGTGGCCCCACAATATTTCCTGCAATTGAATGTGGCTGCCTTGAAAATTGTTTTCCACCCCTCTGCTGCAATAGCGAAATAATCATTACAAGTCTTCAGGGTTTTAGCCAGTGCTTTTTTCTGGGGGGGATGCATGGGTACACATACTCCTAAACATTTTGTGAATCTTTGTACTTTTGTCCATTTACTGTATTTATTTTTCCTAATTTGAACTATAAAGTGGTGATTTTCTTGAGTCAAAATAAGAGTACCCCTAAACATTTTTTTAAAGAAAAAAATGGTTTTACGATTTTCTGTGTGTAATGCTGTAGGATAAACTTCGTCATGGCCTCGCATATCTTTCAGAGATGAGGCCAAGAACACTTGGTTTTACTTTAAAAAAGCAAAGAGGCTGATAGAAATGGAGTAGGCAAACCAGCATGTCAAATGCTACTTCTAGTTGGATACACACTGTACTGTACATTCAAAGCTCATCTGAAGCACAGTTTCCTCAAAGCATTCTGGGCACTGTAGTTTGCTAAGGGTTGCTGGAAATAGTAACTCCTTGAGGGATAGATTACAGTGCCCAGAATTTGTCGAGAGAAATAATGTTTTCCCCCTCCCTCCAAAAATGTAGTGTGTACACTGCTGGCGTGCTGCATCTAAGATGGTTTGTTGTGAAGAGGAATAATGAAGTGTTTTCATACATGAAGCTTACATTCATTTTTCATTAAGCATATGAAACATCCCCACTATCCCCCAATCCCCATTTTCTGTAGTAATTAAGTTGAAATACATGTAACTGAAACTATTTCCCATTTATCCATCCTTCCATTTCCCTCCCACTTTGTTTTCCTTTTGTCTCTTAGATTGTTCTTGTGGTTTCAGATTATAGGCTCCTTGAGGAAGATTTCACCTTCTTCATGGTAAAGCACCATGTACATAAATATGCACACACACACAGTCGTACACTCCCCCCCCCATTGAAAATATCCAAAGGTGCTCTAGCAGACTGGGTTTCTTAGGGTTAGGGCATATCTGGAATACTGCATTCAGCAGCAGTGTCCTAGCAGAAATCAGAAATGTCCGGGGAAATCTGGATGTATGGCGACCTGTGTCAGCAGTGCCATTTTGGGCGATTTTCCATAATAGCTCAAAAATGGCTTTTTTGTAATTTTGCCCAAAAAAGCTTAAAACTTTTAAGCAACTCAACAACTTTTTTGTCCGGATTTTTACTGTTGGAAATATGGCAACTCTAGTTTTCTTCTTTTGAAAACAATCCCACACATTTCAAGCTTACAACCCTTTACCAAGGACATGCCCTGCTTACAACTCTTCCTAGGAAGATCAAATGATATTTCCTTGCAACACATTTCTGTCTCAACATGTGCATGGTATACAAACACACAACATTCCACACCCCTGCCATGGAATCTTCACACTGCTTTTAAAACCCAGGACAGATCTGGTTCCACTTTCAATATTTGTCTTCCAAGAAGCAGTGTTGGAATTTTTGAAGAACTTGCAGTAAATGTACCTTAGATTGCCTCGCAGCCTCAGATTACAGAACTCCTCCAGAGTATGCCTTCATTATACACTTTTAGGCACCAGGCGAAAACGTTCCCCTTTAACCAGGCCTTTGGCTGATTTGATTGACAGCCTATGCCTTTTAAAATGTGTTGGGGCGTTATTGGGTATAGGACAGCATATAAATTTAATTAACAACAACAACACCTGTTCCCCATAAAGCTGACAAGCAGAATACAGGAGACACAATGTTAGGCAGCTGCAAAAAATAAAGAGGTCATTGACTTGCTAAGTGGAGAAATTGGTGGGCAAGGACAAGGAGATGTGAAGAAACTGGGGCATTGTGGGATTTCAGAAATGGAGAATGGTTTGAATGGATTGAAGAAGGAACAAGAGCTCATGGAGCAAGTGTGAGAAGGTCAGCAGACCCCCGTTATCAGCAACCTAAGCACCCTACAGAAACAGTATATCACACCCACAGGGCAATAAGAGAACTGTCATGGACACCCTAGCGATAAAAAGGGACACCCTAACGAGATAAGGGAGTTGTATCAAGGGTAAACGGCTTCTCACACTCCACGATAAAGTGAGAAGACAACAGTTAAAGCTAAGATCCCAAAAGAACTGGATTGAGACAAAATTCCAATTGTGGTTCTGCTGCTCAGGTGCTGAGATTCCAAGACAGACTGATCATCTTCAGAGGTTTTCTTTTGGCAAACATCATCTGTTGATGGAGAAACAGTCTGCCTCAAGAGAGGCTATATGCTGTTTGTTTGTTTGCTTCCTTCCGACCCTTCTCTCATTCTTTCTTACATTTTATGCACCACCAGGTTAGGTTTTATGCTAATGTATGGTAGATCTCTGGATGATTTGCAGTAGATCAGCAAAGGTTTCTTATGGCTCATCCACACCTTCCTTGAGTGTGCATTGTAAGTTGCTTTGCTCCCCTTAAAATGTCTGATGTTCCCATGGTGTTTCCTGGAAATCACTTTTGTCCCACACTAACCCTCCATTTAATGCAGATTTTCTCCCACCTCCACAAATCTAGAAATGAGGATGGAAAGTGTTTTTTAAGGACTGGGGGGCATTTGCCTCACCTGTGTGTGGTGTTTGGACAACACCTGTCTACAAAAATTCAAGAGCTTGGTCAGATGGAGAGGATATTGGACCATCTTCAAAATATGCAAATACCTCTGGGGGAAATCAGGAAACACATATTTCTAAGTTTTTCGGCTTTCTTTGCCAAATCTGTCATTTTCTCAGAGCACCAAGCATCAATTAAAAAAAATTAAGGTGGTAGAAAGAGGGAAGGCGTCCAGGGGAAAAACTTCAGCAATCCCACCCACCACTGTATCCAATGTGTTTTGACTATGCACAATTTCGGCTTTAGGCATGATCAGTGGAATGTAGCCCCTGTGTAAATTGCAGGCTTAGTGTACTCTGATAGGTTTAAGAAATTGTTCCACAAGTTCCATTCATTTCAATGGAGGTAGAGCAGAACTTCTAGGTGAATTGTGCTCAAGAACTAGGGAAGGAGGGACTTCTTCAGATGTTGAAATTTAAATGTGGTTCCCACATTTACAGAGTCAAAGATCCTATCTAGTGGAGAATCAATGTGCATGCCTGGACAACTCACATGCTGTAATCTTCACACATATTTGTGCAATCACTCTCCCACACTACCAGGTGTGGAATAGTCACATGAACTGGGCATCCATGCATATAGGCCAATGCATGGAGCACATAGCTCCCACATGTTTTTTCACATGAGTGATGAAGAGACACCTATTTCTGTACAAATCAGACATTCCCCATTGTGGTAACTTTATAAAGCAGTCCTTTTTCTGGATCTCTCTGCATTTTAATAACCAAGATAGTTTATAGGACTCACAATTCTAGCTCTCTGCTTAATGCTTGGAATGTATTTTGCTTACTTCCTCTTCTCCTTTCAGCTTACAAGAGAGTTCCATGCAATCAAGTGTTTTTTCCCCCATAAGTAATTTTATTTTCCTCTTAAAGTATTGTACTGTAGTTACAAAAGTTAAAATACAGTGTAAGTACTCCCCCTACTGGCTCTGGGGGGGAAATGATTTTGGCTGCAAGCTTTCGCTTTGTACAAATTCTTGCTGCAAAGCATATACACGGATCCAGCCAAATCGAATAACTTTTTGAACTCCCTTTTGAGTTGAGTGAGAGAGAATGCTTATCTCCTTTTGAAATCAATGGGACCTGAATGTGCCTTCTGCAACATATTGCTATGGCTGTTATCTTGGAGTGTTAGGGGTGCTAAGGGAGGGGTAGTACCTATAGTGGGAGACATGCCATGCTTCTTTGGGGGTAGTTTGTCCACCTTTGGTCCCCACCCTGCACTCAGCTCTCACCTGCGGCTGCTGGAAACTGTCAGCATGCAGCAGTGATCACACTCCAGGAAACAGCTTCAACTGGTCAGCTAAACCAGGTAAGGGTAGCTGATGGGTCTCCAAACCTGAGGTAAGTTAGGGATTTTCCTGCATGCAAAGGCAGGCTCTGGCAAATTGAGCAAAGGAGACCAATAGTGGGTCCAAGAAGGCAGTTTCTGCACATGCTGTAGAGGGAAATGAGGAGCAGATGAGGTCCATCAACCTGGGAAGGTAGCCCCTCTAGGAGAAGGAAAACTCTGATCCTAAATTTCTGCTGCCTTGTGGCTACACTCATTCACGAGAAAGGCTTTGGGACTAAACCCCAAGGAAAAATCTGTACCTGCTGCCTTGCAGGACATCTTTGGGAGAAGAAAAGGCGAAGGAGTAAACCATACACAAATCTGGAGTGAAGTCCCTAAGACAGATGGCGTCTTGTATGCCTGATTCGAGCAGCTCCTGCAGATAAGCTGG